ACGCAGACGCGTCACCAAGAGACCTGGTCCAGAGAAGGGTCGGCGAAACCTGCGACCGCTGAGGGTGCGGCCACAGGTTAAGCTGGTGAGCGGCGTAGGGGACGGCGAACGGCCACAGCAAATGGGGTGCACCGGCATGGATCATGGGGGTACGAGCCACCTCCATGACCAAACCGATGCGTCGCTCAGCGACCCCATTCTGCTGCGGGGAGTCCGGCAAGGTGAACGTCTGGGTGATGCCCTCCGCATGACAGAAACGCCCAAGGCAACCAAATGCGAACTCCCCACCGCGGTCAGAGTGGAGACCAACACAGGGAGACCGCGGTGCACACGGGCAGAGACAAGCCACGGGATAAGAACGTCAGGCACGTCGGCCTTCCGCTCCAAGGGAAACACGGTGGTGTAACGAGTGTAGTCCTCAACAAGGACGAGGAAGTAACGCTCACAACGTGGGGCCCCAAATGTCCATGTGCAAGGTCTGCAAGGGTGCGGTGGTGGGGGGGAACGAGGAGGAGTGAGGGGCACGGCGGAGCTGACCCTCGACGCAAGGGGTGCACGGCGGCGCGGATGAGGAAGGGAGCGCGGGGAACGACCCAGGGAGACCTAAATCAAGATCGTGCTAAGACATATGACGAAGGCGGGGGAGGGCAGGGTCACCTAGACGGTGGTGCCACAGGAGTGTCGGGTGAGTAAGCGACTGACACGAGCAAGCCGCAGCTACCTGAGAAGACACAGTCACCAAGGGAGACGTCGCAGCCGGAGGGGGGGGGGGGGGGTTGGTGTCCTGCGTGAATAGGCCGGACACTGGGTCCTGGGGGAATGTGGTGAGGGGAGCACCAATGGCGGCCTCGGTACAGATAGCGTACCGCTCGTGACCAGGGAATGTAGTGGTGACGCCAAGGTCCTGGAGGTAGCCGACACCAACTAAGTTCCTAGAGAACGAGGGGATGTGCAAGCCTGTAAGGGAGTCTGAAGGAGCCGCCGGACAGGGAAGGGTAGTGGAGCTACGGGCTACGACAGGGCCTGAGGAAGGGTCAGCCAGGGAAACTGCGGCGGGAGTGGCAAGCGGCATGAGAGTAGTGGAGTCCTGGAAGAAGCACCGGGAAGCGTCGGAGTCAAGGGTGAAGGAGAGCGCAGCAGTGGCGGCCGGGGCCGAGGGAGCGAGGGAGGAGCCTAGGCTAATCAAAGCAGGGGATTCTACGCGTGACGCAGCAGGGGGGTCTGAGCTAGGCACACCTACACAAGGTAAAACGGGGTAAATGGCACCAATCACACTAGAGTCATCGATATACACTGACGGAAAGTATTGCCCTGATGAAGTCCAATTTTAGGTTCAACACATGATTTGAATGCTTTCACCCGATGTATCGTTGAATCTTCAAAGCTGACTAGTAAGTAACGAGTGCCAGTTGCAATAGGGTAACACGTTTGCAATTTGAATGAGTCGCACTAATAGCGTGGACAAGATTTCAGTCGCGTGAGTGCATCCGGACAGTTTCGGCCAGGCAGCGGACTAGATCCGTTTTCGACTAGCGCATTCTCTCCATAGTTCCTAACGCAATCGTCGATTAGTCAGAATAGAGTTTATACCCGAGGCGTAGACTACGCCAAGATGAGACCGATAGATGAGGCTCGTCGCGCCCGGATCGTGGCCCTGTTGCGTAAGGGGTACAGCACGAGGCAAATCGCGAAACAGGTTGGCGTTGGGAAAAGTACAGTACATGATGTCGGGCTCAAGGCGATTTCAGAGACTAGTCCCGAGGACGTACATCCTACAATGCCCACTGCTGGTCGTCCACGCGTACTGACGAATAGAATTCGTCGTGGGATCGTCAGGGCGATCACTAGCGGCGAGGCGAAAACCTCGAGGCATGCGGCCCAAATCGTCGAATCCCAGCACGGCATCACGGTGCATCCTAGGACGGTGCGTAATGCGCTCAAATCCAGCGGCCTTATCGCAATTCAGCAGCCTAAGAAGCCGCGACTCTCCAAGAAAAATATCCGCGATAGGCTGGCATTCGCACGGGCCCACGCGGATTGGACCATAGATGATTGGCGACGGGTCATATGGTCGGATGAGACGAGGATTAGTAGGTTCTGCTCTGACGGCCGCGCGTACGCCTGGGTTCGTGAAGGTACGACTCTCCAACACCACCAGATCAAGCAAACCGTCAAACACGGGGGCGGCGGCTTGATGATCTGGGGATGTATGACGTTTGAGGGGGCGGGTTTCATGTGCAAAATCGATGGTCGGGTGGACGGGCCGCTATATCTGAGCATTTTGCAAGACGAGCTGAAGAAAACCATCGACTTTTACAAGCTAACCCCCTCGGCTGTGATCTTCCAGCATGATAACGACCCCAAGCATAAGTCCCGTGTGGTGCAGCAGTGGCTTCAGGAGCAGGAGTATGGGGTCCTGGAGTGGCCGGCAGGAAGTCCTGATCTGAACCCCATTGAGCATCTGTGGGCTCATCTTAAAAGGGAGCTGGGAAAGCATGAGACACCTCCCTCTGGTATGGTGGACCTGTGGGAGCGTGTACAAGAGGAGTGGGAGAAGATCCCATCAGAGGTGTGCTCCAATTTGATCGACAACATGCCCAGGAGGGTGAAAGCAGTGATTAGGGCTAAAGGGCGGTGGACCAGGTACTAGTTTAAGGGTTGTTCAAGTTGCTGCTTCCGCCTGGAAATAATTGTCCACATGCACCGTGCTTGGTTATGTTTGCTTTTTACTGTTAACGATAGTAGTTTCATCAAATGTGTAGCATTTTTATGTGTCCCTAGATTGGCCTGCATATAGTGGGTAATGCCTCTAATTAAGGCTTAATGTTCAAATGCCCTTTAACGGTGGAAATCCAAAAAATTGCCAAACATGTGGACAATTCTTTCCGTCAGTGTACAGAACATACAACGCAAAGCTAATCTTATCCATGTCCATATCGAAGATCTGAACACCCCTACGGAGCAAGCTGAGCCAGTAGGGGAGGTCGGGCGACGGGCCGAAGCCAAGACGAAACAGGTCGTCCAGAAGACTGAAACAGCGAGTGGGGGTGTGACCGATCTTACTGCACACGAGGCCACGGCAAGGACCGGTCTGGAGCTGGTACTGGCAGCGCCAGTCGCCGGAACCACCACCCGACGTCACGCCGCGCGCATGACCACCACGACCGCCATCATTACCAGCGCCGGGCTACCCGGGCGGGAGACGACCAACCCGCCGCTGCTGCTACTGCTGCTGCAGTGGCTGCTGCGACGACTGCTGGTCGAGCGGTGGAACCTGCTGCTGCTGCTGAGACTGCTGCTCGGCAGTGCTATTCCCAGCGCCCTTGTCAGCACCCCCAGCGGACGACCCGGCTCCACCACCTCCTCCACCCCCACCACCGCCGCGCCCAGCCTTGGGGCGGCAGCCCTTTCCTGGACGAGCCTGCGCTGCAGCGGCTGTCTCAGCCACTATAGCAGAGCCGTCAGAGAAAGTGCACTGAGCGGGCGCACAGCCCTGAAAGATAGAGACCGGCACAGTACCGCTGGACTGGGCGATAGAGCGCTGGCGGGTCTCTATGGCAGACAGAGTGTCGACAAAGTCAGGTAGGGTGAGGTCTGCGGGGTGGAGACTGAGAAAGTGATCGCTGGCAATAGCAAGGCAATCAGGGAGGCGGGTGGCAAGCAGGTAGAGGGCAGCGCAGAGGAGGGGCTGGAACACGCGGAGCTGGGCCTCAGTACAGGCCGAGCGCCAGGTCGAGTCTAGCGTGCGCAGGTGGGCGGCTAGGTCAGCGATAGTGGGGAAAGACGCGAGGTCAGGAAAAAGCAGGGGCAGGATCAGGCGTGTGACGGAGGCTGAGGACGGGGTGGAATAGCGCGCAATAACAACATCTAGAAACTCCTGTGCGGTCCTGACCGACCTAAAGCGAGGACGCTCAGACAGGGCTAGGGCATGACTGATGGCAAGCTGTGCAACAGCATCACGCGACAACCAGACCGAACGGGCAAGGGCAGCAGTGGCAGCGGACTCACGATCAGCAGACATGGGGTCAGCGGGCAGCGCAGCAGGGGGGTCAGGACAGGGGAGCGTACCGTCAAGGTGGACAGCCAAGGAGTGCCCGTCCTGCCGCTGACCAGTGAGGTGACGGCGGAGGTCGACGAGCCACGTGTCGAACTCGATCGAATGACCCTCCGCGTCAAACCGCAGCACTGAGTCCGTCATCAGTGCGCTGAAGTGCGGTGCAGTGCGGTACAGTGCGGTACAGTGCGGTGCAATGCGGTACATTGCGATGCAATGCGGTGGAGTGCGGTGCAGGGGCCGGCTGCACATGACGGGCAGCTGGGCGTCGGGGGCGGGCGTGGAGAACGGGCCGGGGTGGGCACTGGCCGGCGACGGGGCGGGCGCGGCCCAGGTACGAGGCGGGCGCAGGGGGCGGCTACAGGACGGGCGCGGGCCGGCTACGCGACGGACGCAGGCCGGGTACAGGACAGGCGTGGGCCGGCTACGGGGCAGGCGCGGGGCCGGCTAAGGGACGGGCGCAGGCCGGGGACGGGGCGGGCGCGGGCCGGCTAACGGACGGGCGCGGGGGTCGGCTAACGGACGGGCGCGGGGCCGGCTAACGGACGGGTGCAGGCCGCTACGGGGCGGGCACGGGGCCGGCTGCGGGACGAGTGCGGGCCGGTGACGGGGCGGGCGCGGGCCGGCTAACGGAAGGGCGCAGGGCCAGCTACGGGACGGGCGCGGGGGCCGGCTACAGGGTGGGCACGGGGCCGGCTACGGGGCGGGCGCAGGCCGCTACGGGATGGGCGCAAGGGCCGGCTACGGGGCGGCGCAGGGCCGGCTAGGGGACGGGCGCGCGGCCGGCTACGGGGCGTGCGCGGGGCCGGCTGGGGGACGAGCGCGGGGCCGGCTACGGGGCGGGCGCGGGCCGGCTATGAGGAACAGGCGGCTAGGACCTAGGGCGGAAGCGCTGGTGGGCGAGCGGGACCTAACCTACTCATGATACCATGTCAGAATGCAAGAATGACTAGAAGGAGAGAGTACAAGGGAATATAGTAGTGTGTTGTACCCTCTAAGGCACAAACCTATATAGTCTACAATAACATACTAAGTTATGTTTGACACCTGGCTGGCCAAAATTGTCATGGTATGGGCCCTTGCACATTGAGAGCCCAGCCCATGCCACGCTGATCCAATGGCAGCAACAGAGCCATGGATTCAGGCAGTCATCATCAACCTGACTCCCTGCCTTGCTGCACCCATGGATGAAGCAGCACCTCTGAACATGTGGGTCGTTTCTTGGGATCCGTACTCAGCATTGCTGCGATGAGCTGCTTGGCACCTGATGACACATTCACAGTGAACTCATTCTCAACCAAGTCTCGCGGATCTGCATGCTTCACCATGCCTGTGCTTGCACCAGTATCTGGGAATTTCGAAGTCAGAAGCGCATACAGGACAACCCCGAGGCTGTACACGTCAGCTGGGGTACTGTAGAAGCTGTCTTCCAGCACTTCAGGTGCTTTATACACACCGCTTCCGACATTTCCCATTGTGAAGCCCACGGACGGTTTGAGGATATTCGCCATGCCAAAATCCGCCAGTTTCACGGTGAAAGGGCATGTGTCAATCCCGGAGTGGTCAGAGGCAGAGGATACTGACGTCAGCAAGACGTTCTCAAGCTTGATGTCACGATGGATGACATGGCGAGAGTGGCAATGCTGCACGGCTGTCACAAGCTGCCGAAAAATGCCGGCCGCCAAGTGTTCCGGAAGGCCGGCTGGTAGTTCCCCAGCCAACTTGCCGCTTCTGTTCTTCCTGAAGCAAGAAGAGGAGAGCCTTTTCAGGAATGACCAAGAGGTCAGGGATTTTGCCGGCTTCTGCTTCTGGTTCTGCTGCTCAGTCCGTTCCTTTGTATTCTGCTGCTGCTGCTGCTGCTGCTGCTGCTGCTGCTGCTGCTGCTGCTGCTGCTGCTGCTGCTGCTGCTGCTGCTGCTGCTGCATAGGCTGTGCCGTGTTCCCGTTCTGTTTTAGAAGAAGCGTGAGTAAGTCACCACTGTCGCACAGCTCCATCACCAGTCGCAGGCGATCCACGCTGGCGAACACGCCTTTCAATCCCACGATATTCGGGTGCCTCCCGAGGTGCTTCATCGCCTTCATTTCCCGTCGCAGGGCCGTCGCCTTCGCCTTCCACGCCTCCTCGCTGTTACCCGATCTCTCCACAGTCTTGCACGCGAAAGCCTCGCCCACGTCGCCGCTTTCGCCCACGCGGTCGTCATCGCCAGCAAGGCGAAAAGCTTCGGCTTTCGTGTACTCCTGAAAAACTGCTGCTGCGTTGCCGGAAGGACACGCGTGTACCGTGGGGCTGCCACTTGGCGAGATCCTAGAGCGTCGCTCGTGACAGATCTCCACGACGCCGTAGGCTCCTTCGCCCAGCACTCGTCCCACCTGGAATCGCGGAGTGAATTGCTGCAATCCCGGGCTGACACGCCACGGCTTCGCGAGACTGCTGACCGCCGCGGCATTCAGGGAATTTCCAGCTGGGGGGTCGGCAGGGAGGCGAATGGTGATTGGATCGTCTGACATTGTTACGTCTTGATTGAAAGACCGGAGCCGCAACTGGGTAAAACTGAACGCCCGATTTACAGGTAGGCAATTCCTGACAATTTCAGCATTCGGTTGTTTTTATAGCCTAGTCAGCTTCGACTGTGGTCGTTGAAGGCTCCGAGTCGTTGTGTCCACTAGTACATGCAAGCTGAATTAAGAGGTAATCCCTGCGAGTGTCAGTCTGGAGGCTTAGGTACGAGAGGCGGATCCATGGTGCACGGATTGCGACAAGCGTGCGATTGGAAGGAGAGGGACGAGACTCGTGAGTGCTTGACCCAGCAGTCTGAGTCACGCGCGCGGGATGTGGAGGAAACGGATATGGCAGACTCGTCGGAGTCGTGGCCGTGTGCTCAACGCTTTGTGGGAAGACAGCCTGTGGGCGTGCTCTCGGTGCAAAAATTCTCGTTGTGCTGCTCGGTCTGGCGCAGTGATGTCAGGGTTCTGTGCGATACAGTACGTTCCAGTGTAATACTTCTCCAAAATCGCAACTCAGAATTGAGCCACTTGACGCACAATACAACCTAGCCGGCTGCACCCGTGCGCGGGACGGGAATCTGGGAAGGGTAGAAGTGGAGGGAGCGAGGGGGGGAAGGGGGAGAAGACGGTGGCGTGGGGTGGGGGGGGGGGGGAGGGGAGCAGCGGGGCTGACCGACGAGGGACAGAGTGACAATATAAGAGGGACTGGAACGGGCTGCGGGATGGGACGATATCGAGGGACGATATCGAGGGACAATTTTCAAGAGGATGAAATCGACGGCCTTCGGTGACCAACGATAGCTGCTCTATGTGCTACAAGCAGCTATTACTGCAGAAATTTGGAAGTGTAGATCCTAACTGCTATTATATCACTTTTACGTTGGGCTGTTATTCAATGCAAGACGAAGCAACAAGCGAACAAAGATTTCCACTCTTCGAGAGGCAGATAGAGGCACCTCATGAGCGGAGAACGAATAACAGCTTTCCTTCTATATTTTACTTTACCAGAAAAACAAGCACATGCACTAAGCGGCCTCGTCACCACCCCCTTCCTCTTCATCCCCCTCCTCACTTCCCTCCTCATCCGACTCATAAAACCCCTCCACAAACCCTCCCTTGCTGCCCTTTGCACTCCCAGCCTTGGCTGCCGCCTCGCCTGCAGGCAGCAGCTCAAAAGACCCGTCCGTCCAGCGAGCGAGCAGGTGCAGGCGAAAGACGGCCATCTTCTCTCCCAATAGCCGCTGAGGAGGTGGGGAGTGACAAAGGGACAATTGGGTGATGGGAACGAGAGGATGAGGGGGAAGAAGAGGTGGCGACAGCAATCACCCATTTAATACAGAGAAGGGAGGTTTAAGCGGTAATGAAGGGAGAGATACAGGAAAACGAGGAAAGGGGCGGAGAGCTCTGTACAGTGTAACACGGCAGCAAAGCTACACTTCAACTGGAAATGCAGAGCCCAAATCTCAACCAGTGGAGGTTCCTACAGCAAGGCTCTTGGAAACCGAGCAGACACTAAGAGTCACTGTGAGCCCACTATCAACTTAGACTGTACCAGAATGGTTGCCGCCTCTGGGGAGAGCGGTTGGCCCTCTGTGCACACAGTGAAGTCAGCCACCAGTTCAATCACCCCTGGTATTGTCACATGGACACACGGGGCACATATAGGGCAAGGCGCACAGGGCGCACATAGGGCAAGGCGCATGGGGCACAGCACACAGGGCACAAGCAGACGACCCTTTGAGTCACTGTTCATACCACTTGCCAGTACAATCACTCCTGCTACAATCACAGTGAGGGAAGGAGGCAGAAAACTTTATGGACGACGATGAATGAAAACCCTTTGCGTGGTGATGCAAGGTGCTAGCTGTCCCATGCCCATCCCCGCTAATGGCACTCTCACACGCACCTCTATTGAGCCGCACTGGCATGCCCTGCTTCCTTAGGAACGGCTCCATGTCGTGGCTGAACTGCGTGAGAGGGCCCTCTGGGAGCTCCACCTGCAATAAGAAAGAGGTGGTCGTGCTATGTGTTAATAGACGTTGATTGACCTGGATGCACCTTGACATGTGGCGGCTCACATGGAGCTCCACCTGTAGGCAACTGAGGGTAACACAATGCAATAACAAGAAATCCACTCTGTATTATGCTATGACTGTACAACGTTATGACTGTACAACGTGTGATAATGTATAATGGGAAGAGGAGGAGAGCGAGGGGGGACGGCAGTGTTTCTCACCGTGCCTGTGGCAATGCTGCCAGTGCGCGCGAAGTCGGGCTCTGCCAGCTCGCTGAACCGCCTGCAGTTCAGTGCCGGGAGAAGGGAGGGAGGGCGGGGGAGCGAGGGGATGGAGGTGGTTAAAGAGTGGAGTGCACTTGGGTGTGTAGGCAACGAGGGGAGTGATGAGGTGCGCACGGAGAGAGAGAGGGTGAAGGACGAGCATGCAGAGGAGGACGGGCAAAGAGGGAAGTGGGACACCCGTAGTTATCCCTTCCCTAAAATTTCTGCTGCCTCAGAACGCCCATCCCATTCCCCATAGGTATTCCTGCCCCCTCTCTCTCTCCGCCTGATTTGCACTCATACGATCCCATCCAAGCTCTCCCTTGCTTCCTGCCCCCCCACCCTTCCTTTCCCCCTTCCTCACAACACCTCTCTCCCCCATCCTCCTCCGCCCCTCCCCCTCCCCTCTCTATCCCCCCACTCACTTCTCCACCTGCAATTGTGGCAGCGATGCGAACAGCAGCCCCCCAAACTGCCGCGTTGCCCCTCCCTCGTCCCCCAACCCCCAGTCCTCCTCAAACCCCTCCCCCCCACCCCTCAACTCACTTCCCCACCTGCTCCTTTGGAAGGGATGAGAACAGCAGTCTTATAAAAATGCCGTGTTTCCCCTCCTCCCCCAAAGCCCCATCCTCCAATCCCCTCCAATCCCGCACCCCCCAAACCCCTCTTCTGCCCGCCACTCACTTCTCCACCTGCTCCTTTGGAAGGGATGTGAACAGCAGTCCGCGGTGACCCTCGATCAGCTGACGTGGCAAGACATGAGTACGAGGAATGAAGGGAAAGGGAGAAAAACAGAGCGGATGGGGGGGAATAGTGGGAGGGGAAGTGGTGATGTTTGAGAATGAAAGGTGGACGAGAAGGCCGTGAGAAGGTGGAAGAGAAAAGGTCCTCCAGAAGTTGCATCTGTAGGCATGCATGCATGGGTTGGGGGGAAGGGGAAGGGAGGAGAGGAGACAGTGAGGAGGTGTAGAGGGCGCGGAACGCAATGCTTAATCACGCTAGCCACGCCCAGCCATGCCTTCTCATCCCTTCAACCCATCTGCCCCTCACCTCACCGCACTGCATTGGTTTAAACCCTCCCTGTAATAGATCGACCTCCCCCTCCGTGCACCTTTCCCAGAAACCTAGCCCTTTACTCTCCACTCCCCCTCACCTCACTGCAACGGTGCAGCCCCTCCCTGTGCTCCGTGGCCTTGTCTCTCCCCAGCGCCACCTGCAGCACCTTGTTGGCGCCCAGAAAGAACCTGAAAGGCGCGGATTGCAAGGGGGGACGGAGCGGAAGGGGGGCGGAGCGGAATGAGGACGGGGAACAAGGAGCAGAGAGAGAAGAGGCCAAATTGCACTGCAGAGAGGAGTTAAACAGCGGGACAGACCGAGGCACCTGCAGCACCTTGTTGGCGCCCAGGAAGAACCTGTGGCGCGGATTGCAAGGGGGGACGGAGTGGAAGGGGGGCGGGGAACAAGGAGCAGAGAGCGAAGAGGCCAACTTGCACTGCAGAGAGGAGTTAAACAGAGGGACAGAGGCACCTGCAGCACCTTGTTGGCGCCCAGGAACGAGCTGGCTGGGAGAGAGGGGGAGTGAGAGGGTGTGGCAGCGAAGGGAAGTGAGCACCTTGCGCTGCTGCCTCCGCTGAGAGCAAGAGAACAGCGAGAGAAAAAGGAGAAGAAGGCACGGCGATCGCAACGGACGGAGCCACCTGCTCCAACTGTTGCCTCGACTCTGCTCGGAGGTCAGGGTTCAAAGTTTAAGACTTCAGGGTTTAAGGCATCAGGGTTTAAGGCTCTTCACCTGCAGGACCCCTTCAGTTCGCCTCTGAGCTCCTCGAGCTTGGTGTTGCGCGTGCTGTCGAACTCGAACGCGTGCACGTCCGAGTACTCCTCCGCTGCTGCTCCGAGGTCAGAGTTCAGGGTTTAACGTCAGGGTTTACGACTTCAGGTTTAAGACATCAGGGTTTAAAAATGCTTACCTGCAGGACCCCTTGAGCTCGTATCGGAGCTCCTTGAGCGCTTGGTGTTGCGCATGTTGCCCAGCTCGAACACGCACACGTCCGAGTATTCCTCCACTGCTGCCCGGGGCTCAGGGTTTGCGACTTCGAGGGTATAAGGAATTTGGGTTTTAGGCTGCTTACCTGCAGGAGCCTTTCAGTTCGTCTCTCCTGAGCTTGGTGTTGCGCATGGTGTCGAACTCGAACACATACACGTCCGAGTATTGCTGCGATGGGGCCAGGGCTCAGGGTTTAACATCAGGTATTACGACCTAAGGGTTTGGCGCTGACCTGCAGGATCCCTTGAGCTCGTCCCTCAGTTCTGTAAGTTTGGTGTTGCGCATGTTGTCGAGCTCGAGCACGTACACGTCCAAGTACTCCTCAACTGCTGCCCGGGGGCTCGGGCTCAGGGTTTGCGGCTTCATGGTTTAAGGCATGGGGGCTTCAGGGTTTACCTGCAGGAGCCCTTGAGCTCGTCTCGGAGCTCTTTAAGTTTGGTGTTGCGCATGTTGTCGAACTCGAACACGTATACGTCCGAGTATTCCTCCACCGCTGCTCGCACCGCCTCCACAAGTGACTCCTTCTGCTCGCGCCCCTTCTTAGTCACGCGCGATAGAGTCACTGTAGGAAGGGGCACAATGGGGGGGAAGGGGAACGAGAAAAGGGGGAATGGGGGGAAAGGGGTGTGGGGGGGAGGGTGGGGAGAGCGGTTTGAGACGCGTCTCTCAAGTCACCACTCCACGCGCGACTCTTGCAGCTTGCAGCCCTTCCTAGTCACGCGCGATTGAGTCACTACAATGGTTAGCGCGCGGAGGGAGGAGAGGGGGAGAATCCAGCGAGGAGTAGCGCACGTGTAGTTTTGAGGCGCCTCAAAACGTGGAGTGTCGCAACTCCTGTTGAAAAGGGTTTCTTAGGAGAGCGTGGTTACTGCAGCTCAAAAGAAAGACGAAGCCCGGAGGAAATTTTATGCGTACCCAATCGGTTGCGTTTCGATTTCGGCATCCTGTCTAAACCTTCTCAAGTCTCCCGTTGGCTTCAGCGCCCGTCGTCCACCTTCTCTCCTCCTCTCTCCTGCTCGCTTTCGCGCCCGCTCGTCCCGTCTGCTACCCCGCCTGGTTTTCAAATCAGTCTCCCGCCACCGCTAGCAAAACGACAGTCACAAAACGAGGAAACCAAGTGTCGGTCAACAGTCACGCGCTTCTTCGCTGGGAGGGAATGATGCTCAATGCCCGTGCACGGCTAACCCTCCTTTATAGCGAGGATGCGGTGTACCACGTGAAGTAAGCGCCAGGCGTGCCGCTAACCGTTGGATGCTCGAGGAAAACGGATTGCGGCGAGAGATACGAGAGAGTATCGACTAGTGAAAGGGGAAGGCGGATTTGGAGCATAGGAGATGGGGGGAAAGGGAAGTGAGGAGAGGGGTTGGGAGAAGCGAAGCGAGCGCTTATGCGCGGTACAAGGCGCCCAGCTACTAATATAGCGCTTGTTTCCATTTCCGTAAGAAAGTGGAACTCATCTACATACACGATAGATAGTAGGTAGGTAGGGTAAGGTAAAGCGTAGTCAATGCCCTACCCCATCGTTTTAGCCTGTTGTGAGATCCCTCTGAAAACAAACCCCCTTCACTCAACCGAAATAGGACGTACTCTTGAGACATGCCCTAAGATGACATGATAAGACAGTAGTAACACATTGCAGGCTCTCAGGTATTCCCGCAGAGTCGAACCAGCATCAGCACATCAGATATTCGCGCAGTACCCAAACAGAACCGCAAAGTTGTGCACATTTTGACACCGTGCCGTAATCCGTGTTGCTGATCTGATGCCAATTCATAGGAATACACCCTTATACCCACACCACACTACTTGACCACCGAGATGACTTATGAGTGGACTCAAAAGTCATCTCGTATACCCACACTACATGACCACCAGCCAAATACTGCAATAAATTAGCCGTATTCTGAAATTAGCACGAGGCTGTCCTCTGGGCCGAAGTCAAGCGGCACGTCCTTGGGGCAGGGGTTGATGACGGTGTTGTCCCCTGTCCTGTACCCGATGGCCACCTCCCCTCGCTGCACCGCCCTCTCAGCTAGTTCATTGAAGGTCGGGCACTCCCCAGGACTCATGTACATGGATGCATCCTGGTGGGCGGGATGGGGAGGGGATTTAGTAGTGCGTGAAATGGAAGGTCGGGTGCTCCCCAGGACTCATGTACGTGCATGCATCCTGGTGGGCGGCATGGGGCGGGTTTCAGGTTGAGAGTTTGGGGTTTGGGGTCGTTGACACTGGTGCCCCCACTCCTCTCCTGTACCCGATTGCCACTTCCCCTCGCTGCACCGCCCTCTCAGCTAGCTTGTTGAACGTCGGGCGCTCCCCAGGGCTCATGTACATTGACGCATCCTGGTGGGAGCAATGGGCAGGGTTTCTGGTTTTTGTTTGAAGGTTTGGGGTCATTGACACCCCTCTCCTTCCCTGTACCCGATGGCCACCTCCCCTCGCTGCACTGCCCTCCCTGCCAGCTCGTTGAACGTTGGGTGCTCCCCAGGACTCATGTACATGGACGCATCCTGGTGGGTGGTAAAAGGAAGGGATTCAGATGTATGTGGGTAATATTCAAGGTTGAGCGCTCCCTTGGAATCAAGTACATGGACGCATCCTGGTGGGCGGTAAAAGGAGGGTTTAAGTTTGTTGACAGCGGTGCCCCCTCTCCTCTCCTGTACCGACGGCTACCAGACACCGACGGTTAGTCAAATTGATAAAAGAGTGCGTGTTTGGACAGTGAGTATCACCATCCCAACACACCTTCCATCGTTCAGTCCCCACGCACCTTCCATCGTTCAGTCCCCACGCACCAGTCCCCACGCACCAGTCCCCACGCACCAGTCCCCACGCACCAGTCCCCACGCACCAGTCCCCACGCACCAGTCCCCACGCACCAGTCCCCACGCACCAGTCCCCACGCACCAGTCCCCACGCACCAGTCCCCACGCACCAGTCCCCACGCAGCAGTCCCCACGCACCAGTCCGCACGCAGCAGTCCCCACGCAGCAGTCCCCACGCAGCAGTCCCCACGCAGCAGTCCCCACGCAGCAGTCCCCACGCAGCAGTCCCCACGCAGCAGTCCCCACGCAGCAGTCCCCACGCAGCAGTCCCCACGCAGCAGTCCCCACGCAGCAGTCCCCACGCAGCAGTCCCCACGCAGCAGTCCCCACGCAGCAGTCCGCACGCAGCAGTCCCCACGCAGCAGTCCCCACGCAGCAGTCCCCACGCAGCAGTCCCCACGCAGCAGTCCCCACGCAGCAGTCCCCACGCAGCAGTCCCCACGCAGCAGTCCCCACGCAGCAGTCCGCACGCAGCAGTCCCCACGCAGCAGTCCCCACGCAGCAGTCCCCACGCAGCAGTCCCCACGCAGCAGTCCCCACGCAGCAGTCCCCACGCAGCAGTCCCCACGCAGCAGTCCCCACGCAGCAGTCCCCACGCAGCAGTCCCCACGCAGCAGTCCCCACGCAGCAGTCCCCACGCAGCAGTCCCCACGCAGCAGTCCCCAGCAGCACACACCAGTGCGCGCGCACCTTGACGTAGATTTCATCCCCCCATGAATTGAGCAGCTCCGTCCAAATAGCGTTCAGCTCTGCATGCTCCGTCACTGGGGGAGAGGGGATGCGAGAAGGGGGGCAGTGAAGTGAGGAGGTGGAAGGGCTGGGTGGGGAGGGGGAGAATGAGGTTGCTCTGTTCAGATCACATTCAGCTCTGCTTGCTCCGTCACTGGGGAAGGCATGGTGGGCAGTGAAGGGATGATGGAGGGCGAGGGAGAATGAGGACGCTGTGTGGAAATGGCATTGACCTCTCTTCAAAACGCATCAGCTCTGTTGGGATGGCGTTCAGCTCTGCACTCTCCGTTGCTGGGGAGAGGCGGGGATAAGGGTGGGATGGGGTAGAGAGCTCAAAGGGTCACGAGGGGGTGGAGGAGAGGGGGAATTTAAAAGAAGGGAGAGAGAACGTGCGGTGGAGATGGGAGGAGAAGCGGTGCATATGGCATGGCACCCAAGGGCGTGCATCATCGTACCTTGTGGTTTGAAAAGCCCCATACTTTCTTACCTTGTGAGGTGACTAGCCCCATGAGGTCAGAAGTGCCGATGTATGTCAGCGAGGGATGGCTGCCCACCACCTGGGGAGAACAAGGGGGAGCATGGGGGCATGTGACATGTTTGCCTGATGGCATAATGCCATGAGGTCGGATGTGCCAATGTATGTCAGCGAGGGATGGCTGCCCACCACCTGGGGAGAACAAGGGGGAGCATGGGGGCATGTGACATGTTTGCCTGATGGCATAATGCCATGAGGTCGGATGTGCCAATGTATGTCAGCGAGGGATGGCTGCCCACCACCTGGGGAGAACAAGGGGGAGCATGGGGGCATGTGACATGTTTGCCTGATGGCATAATGCCATGAGGTCGGATGTGCCAATGTATGTCAGCGAGGGATGGCCGACCACCACCTGGGGAGAGGGGAGAGCAGGAGGGTGACATAGTGACATGGTGACATGGTGACATAGTGACATGGTGACATGGTGACATGGTGACATGGTGACATGGTGACATGGTGACATGGTGACATAGTGACATGGTGACATGGTGACATGGTGACATAGTGACATGGTGACATGGTGACATGGTGACATGGTGACATGGTGACATGGTGACATGGTGACATAGTGACATGGTGACATGGTGACATGGTGACATAGTGACATGGTGACATGGTGACATGGTGACATAGTGACATGGTGACATGGTGACATAGTGACATGGTGACATGGTGACATGGTGACATGGTGACATGGTGACATAGTGACATGGTGACATAGTGACTTGGTGACATGGTGACTTGGTGACATAGTGACATAGTAACTGATGCCATGTCATGAAGGCTTGGTACGATGATGTCATGATCGTATGGTATATTGGAAGTACAATGTCCGCTATTCCGAAAGATGGCTTCTCACTGCGTAGGTTGAGTTGAGAGATGGAAGCATGGGATGGCATGATGACATGATGGCATGATGACATGATGACATGATGGCATGATGGCATGATGGCATGATGAGTGGTACCAACAAAGGTCAGAAAACCGAACTGATTCATGATGTGATTGCTACTTCACCCCCTTTCCCCCACAGCACCAAGCATTCAAGCTAATAGCAGGGTGACGACCCTCCATTTCCTTCTCTTGGCCTCCACACCACCCACCTCTCTCCCCAGGCGGTTGTCTTCCAGCTCCGCGTTGAGAGACTGCACCTGCAGGGGGCGGATAGGGGGCACACGAGGAGTACGGGTCACAAGGGCTGTGTGCAATACACCCCTTGGCAAGCAACCATCCCCCCCGAGCATGGAACCAACCCTCCCTGGCTTGCAACCAACCCTCTTTGGGATGCAACCAACCCTCCCTGGGATGCAACCAACCCTCCGTGGGATGCAGCCAACCTTCCCTGGGATGCAACCAACCCTCCTTGATGCAACCAACCCTCCCTGGGATGCAGCCAACCGCTCTCAGGAAGCACCCTTACCCCCCTACCATGCAACCAACCCTCTCTGGGATGTGGCACACCATACAAACCGCCCTTCTTAGAGCCTACCTTGATCTTGTTCGCGCGGCACACGGACTCAGCTAGCAGCAGAGAGTAGAGCGACTGCTTGTCAGGCTTCGTGCGCTCTGGGGGCGCGCGAGAGAGGGGCGGGGAGCAGACGAGAGGGGCGAGAGTCGGGGGAGAGGGAATGGGTGATAGGCACTGGATGTGCAGGTCTGGCTGGGAGCTTCGATTTTAGGGGACCACTGCGCAACCAGTCAGAGTGGTGGCAAACCAGTGCGAAACCAGTCAGGGTGGTGGCAAACCACTGTGAAGCCAGTCTGGGCAGTTTGACACCAGCATTACACAAGCCTTCAACGCAGAGCGCCAGACAGCCTATGACAGCCTATGACAGCCTATGACAGCCTATGACAGCCTATGACAGCCTATGACAGCCTATGACAGCCTATGACAGCCTATGACAGCCTATGACAGCCTATGACAGTCTATGACAGCCTATGACAGCCTATGACATACCCCCATGGTGCCAGGAGCGGTCGGACACAACGATGATGGAGAAGGGCACGTTGTCAAAGAACATGTGGCCGCCCGCCGACACGAATGGGTGGAACACGCTGCCTGCGTCCAGAATGGCGTCTGTGAGGTCGGTGCGGCTCATTGGGTTGCCCACCTGTGGTAAGGGTGGGGGCGCACAGGGGCAGGGGAAAAACATGTGGCCGCCAGCTAATATGAATGTGTGGAACACACTGCGCACGAGCAAGATGGCGTCTGTGAGAGAGCCGTGCGGCTCACGGGGTTGCCGACCTGCCAGCGGATGGTTGGGGTGAAGACACACTGTCAGAATATTGCACCAGTGATGTCGGTGTGGCTCATGGCCCATGGGGTTGCCCCCAGCAATTGGAGCACGAAGGGACACGGCACAGCAATGAGCACGTGAACAAGCTTCACACAAGTGGACCTCACTGCATATGCCCAGAATAGCGTTGGTGTGAGGTCTGTGCGGTCTGTGCGGTCGGTGCAACTCATGGGGCTGCCCACCTGTGGGGATGGGCGCAAGAGGCATGAGGTAAGGGTACCGCGAGTGAGTCAACCTTAGAGAATTGCAGGGGTAGAGGGTGGTCGCTACCATGTTACACTGTTACCACTCGGAGCACGCACCTTGTGCACCACGGTCAGGTTCCGTAGGGGCGTCCTGAGCATCCGTGCCAGCTGACTCTCGCGCTCCTCTAAGCTCTCCTCCGCGAGAATCACCAGCTCGCTGCCGGGCCCCACATAGTCGTCAAACTCGCGGATCATGTCCGGCACGCCCGTGCGCCACCCCAGCATGACCATTCGCTCGGCTCGTGCTGCTGGCTCGTTGAGCTGATGGGAAATTGGGGGAAAGCAGGAAGGGAAGGGGAATGGAGGTAGGGACGAGGCTATGTGGAGGCGTGCCGGGCACACCCGTGCGCCAACCCAGCATGACCATGCGCTCCGCCCTCGCTGCTGGCTCGTTGGGCTGAAAGAGGGATGGACGAAGGGGTGCAGGGAATGGGGGAGAGCAGGCGTGGGTGGGTGGGCAGGTGGGCCCCACAGAGTTGTCAAACTCTCAGATCATATCCGGTACTCCTGTCCTCCACCCCAGCGTCGCCATGCACTCCGTGCTCGCTGCTGGCTCGTGGGCTGAAATGGGGCAGCGAGGGGGGGCGGGGGAAGGGGGGAGGGGGGGGTTGGTTGTTGGGATGGGGTGTTGTTGGGGGCCGAGCAGGGTTAGTGTGGGCATCATGTAGCCGTCGAACCCCCGAATCGTGACTGGCAGCCCACAATTGAACTCCCTCTGACCCCCACTACACCGCCTCTCCTCACCTTGAACTGGTTGGCATCTCTTGTCTTTAGCGCCGAATCTCTGTGCACCCGCACCATCGCCTCACTCCCCCCTCCCCCGCGCCCCTCCCGCCCCCCTCGGTTGCTCTCCAGCCGCTGTCGGATCTGTGCTGCTTGCATCATGAGCGCCGGTGGGGGGTGGCGGTGGGTGTGCTTGAGGGCTATGAGCATTAACTGGTGGAGATTGGGGCAGAGGGGCGTGCAAGGATGCAAGGAGCAGGGGAAGAGAGAGCGAGAGAGAGAGGCCGCTTGAGAGAGCAAAAGAAGGGTTTTCTCTTTTCCCTCCTCAGCTGCTCTCCAGCCGCTGTCAGATCCGAGCTGCCTGCAGCATCAGTGCCGGTGGGGGGTGGCGGTGGGTGTGCTTGAGGTTAACTGGCGGGGTGTGATGGGGTGGACAGAGGGGAGGGGGGGGGACCAGAGGAACAGAGAGGGGTGGTGGTGCGACTGGCATCAACTGGGATCGTGAGAGGGGGAGTGGGAGAGAAGGGATCTTGTGAGGGCGCGCATTGCTCCGTCTCACCATTCTCCCTCGCCTTAGCAGTGCACCACTCTCACACCTTGTCGCAGCGCTGCAGTCCCTCTCACCCTTGTCGCTGTGCTGCATGGGCTCTGAGTCCTTGGGGTGGAACTGCGAGTCCCTTGTGCATGCGCGCAGCACTCCATCACATACAGCATGTTCTCTCTCCTCTCACCAATCCCTCTCCCTCATCCGTTCGTTTCCCCTCATCTCTAGGTCTCACCTTATCCCTCTGCTGCATGGGCGCGGAGTCCTTGAGTTGGAACTGAGAGTCCCTTGTGCGTCCTTGGTGTGCGCAGCACTCCATCGCACGCAGCATCTTCTCTCTCACCTTATCACTATGCTGCATGGGCTCCGAGTCCTTGGGGTGGAACTGCACCTTGCCGTCCCTCACAATGCCGCAGCACACCGCCTGCCGTGGGATGCACGGGGGAGGGGGGAGAGGGAGGGTGATGTCTTCTGAGGCACCTCAATACGGGTGACTGTGCTGCGCCTTGCCGTCCCTCACAATGCCGCAGCATACCACCTGCCATGCAGTGCACGGGGGGGGGGAGGGGAAGGGGGGAACTCGGTTCTCAGGCTCCTCACACAGGCCAGAGTGTCGATCCTTGCTGTCCCACATAATGCTGCAGCAAACCGCCTGGTGCAAGCAACCATGCATGGGGCAGCAGGGGTTGGAGGGGAGTGACTGATTGAGCTGTGCGATTCAGATGGGTCCAGCGAGCGCACTACAGCATACAGGCCCTAACCACAGGCACCCACACGTTACATCTCACCCCCACCAGGCATCCCTCCTTGGACTCACATCAGGGAATCAGCACGCCCATGGTTGGATGGTAGGGGGGCAAGGGAGGGGAAACTTACACGCATTGATCATGCACCCCATGCACATTTGCACCCATGCACCCATGCATCCCATGCACCCCATGCAGACCCCATGCACTCTATTCATCAGCCCATGGACTCACATCAGGGAAGCCTGTGCGCACATGGCCGTAGGGCAGGCCAGCAAGGGAGGGGAAGCTGCGCACGTTGATGACCTCGTCTGGGAGAGTGAGGGGAGAGAGGGGAGCCAGGGGGGAGGGGAAGGAGGGGAAGGGGGCGAAAGGATGGGGTAAGGAGGGGAATGGGACGAAGCGAGAGAGCGGAAGCTGCCCACATTGCCTTGTCTGGGGGTGCTTTTGACTAGTGTGCTTTCGGCCGGTGTGCTTTCGGCCAGTGTGCTTTCGGCCGGTGTGCTTTGGACCAGTATGCTTTGGACCGGAGTGTTTTCGGCCGGTGTGCTTTCGGCTGGTGTGCTTTCAGCCAGTGTGCTTTGGTCCCGTGCGCTTTCGACCGGAGTGGTTTCGACCGGAGTGCTTTCGACCGTAGTGCTTTCAACCGGAGTGCTTTCGACCTGAGTGCTTTCGACCCGAGTGCTTTCGACCCGAGTGCTTTCGACCGGAGTGCTTTCGACCAGAGTGCTTTCGACCGGACTGCTTTCGACCGGAGTGCTTTCGACCGGACTGCTTTCGACCGGAGTGCTTTCGAGTGGAGTGCTTTTGACCGGTGTGCTTTCGACCGGAGCGCTTTCGACCGGAGTGCTTTTGACAGGAGTGCTTTCGACCGGAGTGCTTTCAACCAGATTGCTTTCGACTGGAGTGCTTTCGACCGGATTGCTTTCGACCGGATTGCTTTCGACCGGATTGCTTTCGACCGGTGCTTACGATCAAAGCTCTTACGACCGGAGCGCTTTCGACCGGAGTGCTTACGAATGGAGTGCTTTCGACTGGATTGCTTTGGACCGGAGTTCTTCCGACCGGAGTGCTTTCGACCGGAGTGCTTTTGACCGGTGTGCTTTCGACCGGAGCGCTTTCGGCCAGAGTGCTTTCAACCGGTGTGCATTCGACCGGAGTACTTTCGACCGGAGTGCTTCGACCGATGTGCCTTTTGACTAGGCTGTCTGGAGCACTGCACCAAGAGTTTGGCTAAGAGAGTATCTACGACGCTTGCCTGCACCTTCAGTTCCCTAAACTTTGAACCTCAAACCAGAGACTAAAAAAAAATCACCTGTATGGTCTAGCAGCTTGCAGTAGTCGTCAACGAGCCCCGGCTGTGTGGAGCACTGCTCGAAGAGCTTGGCCGAGATATTCTCCACGGCACTCATGCGCGCCTAACCCTGAACCCGAAACCCTCAGACCAAGAGGCTCGCAACCTCACCTGTGTGGTCCAGCAGCTTGACAGTACACGTCCACGAGGCCCGGCTGGCGGCTGCCGGGAGCACTGCACGAAGCACAGTAGCCTTTACTCTTGCTCCTTGCCCTGTAGCCCGTAACCCCCAAGCCCTCACCTGTGTGGTCCAGCAGCTTGCAGTACACGTCCACGAGCCCTGGTTAACGGGAGCACTGCACGAAGAGCTTGGCAGAGAGATTCTTCACGGCACTCACGCGCATCTCAGGCACCCTAAACCCTGATCCTCGGACCAAAAACTCCCTCACCTGCGTGATCCAATAGCTTGCAGTAGACGTCAACGAGCCCTGGCTGGCGGCTGCACTGCACGAAGAGCTTGGCAGAGAGATTCTCCACGGCGCTCACGCGCATCTCGGGCATGCCCTTGAGGAGAGAGGCTGTGCTGCCCTTGGACACCTCCGCCACCACTCCGGTGCTGGAGCCCCTTAGGAGGGGTTTGAGCGCTATCACTGACATGACCACATCGGCGTCTGCCTCGTAGCTGAACAAGGGAGGGGAGGAGGGAGACCGAAAGGAGTGGAGATAGGAATCATGCCCTTGAGGAGAGACGCCGTACTGCCCTTTGACACCTCCGCCACCACTCCTGTGCTGGAGCCTCCGAGGAGAGGCTTCAGTACTGTCACTGACATCACCACATCTGCGTCTGCCTCGTAGCTGGCGTGAGGAGCGCAAGTGGCGTGCGATGGGCAGAGGGGAGAGTGAGTGAATGGCTCTCCACGGCGCTCACATGCACCTCCGGTATGCCCCTGAGAGGAGAGAGGCCGTGCTGCCCTTGGACACTTCTGCCACCACCTTCGTGTTGGAACCCCATAGTAAGGTTCGAGTGCTATCACCGACATCACCACATCTGTGTTTGCCTCGTAGCTGAGAATGGGAAGGGACGGGAGGGAAGGAGAGGAAGCGGGGGGGGGAGGGGGGGGGGTGAAGGGAGATCGAGAGAGGAAGGGGACGTGAGGGTGGGAAGAGAGGGAGTCGGGAGAGGAGGGGGAGGGCGGGAGCAACAAGGGGCGTGCATGCTATGCTGCTTGTACGATGGCTCGATGGACTAAAACACCACATGGATTAAGAGCCAGCGTCACTCACTAGTCGTCCTTGGGAGCCAGTAGTATGACGGACCGTGCCCTGTCTGCCGCGACCTTCTTGAACGACGCTGTGCTGCTCAAAGGGCCACTGCATTGGAGACATGCAAGGGGGGGAGAGGGGAGGAGCGGGATGGGGGCAGGGGCAGGAAGGGTGGGGGGGCGGGTAAGAGGGCGTGTCTGTGGTTTTTGAGTCGACTCAAAATAAGAGGGCGTGACTGTGGGTGAGACGCCGTGCTGCTGGGGGCCACTGGAGGTATGCAGGGGGAGAGAGAAGAGGGAGGAGGGCCAGGGGGAATGGGGGTGGATGGTGGAAGGGCGGTTAGCATCTAAGGTTGAGAAGAGATGAAGGACGCAGTGCTGGTCAGAGGGGCGCTGAATGCTGTCACAGAGAGGAGAGGGGCGGCAAATGGAGGGTAAGGTGAGCACAAGCGGTTACAAAGTGTCGCCTTGCCTCTGGTTTGGCAGGTTCGGGTGCTACGTTGGAATGAGCACATTCACGAAATGCGTTCGGATGAAGAGGTTGATGCACCGGTAGTCCGTGAGGTACGGCAGTCCTTGGGGAAAACGACAATATCTTCTCCCCCCTTTGAGCAAACACACCCACGAGCTACCTTTGACCAAGCACAGGCATGAGTTACCTCCTGATGAACAGGTTGATGTGCTGGCAGTCCTTGAGGTACGGCAGGCCTTGAGGTATGGCAGTCCTTGAGGTACGGCAGGCCTTGAGGTATGGCAGTCCTTGAGGTACGGCAGTCCCTGAGGTGCGGTGAGACCATCTCTCCTCTCACCTTCGAATGAAGAGGTTGATGTGCTGGCAGTCCTTGAGGTACGGCGGTCCTTGAGGTACGGCAGTCCTTGAGGTACGGCAGTCCTTGAGGTACGGCAGTCCTTGAGGTACGGCGAGACCATCTCTCCACTCACCTTCAAATGAAGAGGTTGATGTGCTGGCAGTCCTTGAGGTACGGCAGTCCTTGAGGTACGGCGAGACCATCTCTCCTCTCACCTTCGAATGAAAAGGTTGATGTGCTGGCAGTCCTTGAGGTACGGCAGTCCTTGAGGTACGGCGAGACCATCTCTCCTCTCACCTTCGAATAAAGAGGTTGATGTGCTGGCAGTCCTTGAGGTAGGGCGACACGATCTTCTCCGTCTCCTTGCGCGGCAGCTCCGTCAGCAGCAGCACTGTGCGCTTCCTGGGGGGGGGGGAACAGGGGCGTGCGGCATGGGGCATGGGGCATGCATGGGGGGGATGAAAAGGTGTGGGTGCACCAGCATTGTCAGCAGCAGCACCGTGCGCTTCCTGGTGGGGGGACAGGGGGGAGGGGAGAAACAGAGGCAGAGGGTTGCACAGGGGCAGAGGGGCACATACGGGATGGTTTTGTCAGCAGCAGCACTGTGTGCGTGGTAGCAAGACAGGGCTGAGCTGCGCTGAGTTGCGGTAAGGCGTGTTGATTGTGAGTTCTGGGCTGTTTGAGGACCTACTAAGGACACACCTTGTCTGCTCAGATCCGTCCTGCCCGGCGAAATGCTGGCTCTTGCTGTTCAGTAAAGCTGAGCTGATAAGTGAGGTCCGGTCCGGGCTATCTAGGAGTACGCCTACTGAGAGCACACCTGGTGGCTGGCAGCAGAGCCAACCTGCACGGCGAACTGCTGGCTCTTGCCGAGCACACACCTAGCGGGAGCCCACACCTGGCGAGAGCACACATGCATGACAAGCAGGGGAGCAGCAGCGCACACCTTGTCTGTGCGGACCCGCCCCGCACGGCGAACTGCTGGCTCTTGCTCAGCTGAGTTAAGGTGAGCTGATAAGTTGAGCACACATACTGAGTTGAGCACACCCAGAGCTGAGCTGGGTTGAGTTGAGTTGAGCTGAGTTGAGCACACCCAATAGCTGAGTTGGGTTGAGTTGAGTTGAGTTGAGCACACCCACTGAGAGCACACCTTGTCTGCGCGGATCCGTCCTGCACGGCGAAGTGCTGGCTCTTGCTCAGCTGGCGCAGCAGCGTGGCCAGGCGGTTGTTAATGCCGCCGATCACTATGTGCTCGCGCTCCATCACCTGGCAGGGAAGGGGAGAAGTGGGTTTGACGAGAGGGATAGCCCGGCAACCATTGGCATGTGACTTTGCTAGCGTACCATCCCCAGCTAATACGAGTGACCAGAACACCCAGATTCACAGCTATGACAACCAGATGCAAGACCCACAACCACCCAGAACCCAAAATAACATATGAGAGTAAGAGGAAGAGAAAAGAGGAGAAAGGAGGGCTCCATGAGCAGCCTGACCTGCGAGTGTGCGCCTTCTCTGAGCCACTCCATGCGCAGCTGCTCGCACAGGCCAGGCGGAATGGCGGGTGCAGGGCACGGGAGAAAAGACAGTTGGGAGAGAGGGCGGAGAACAAACAAACGAGTGAATTGGAGGGGGAGAAGGGGAAAGGGGAGGGTGAGGATGATCGCGAGGTGACGGAAGGAATGGCGGGGAAATGGAGAGAGCTATAGGTCATGAATCCTGAGGTGGTGGCACCTTGAACTGGGCGGTCATGGTGGATGTGAGCAGCGAGTAGAAGAAGAGGCCCCCCAGCGTGAGCATGATGCCGATCACCCGCCCCTCCTGCGTGCTCTCCTGCACTCACCCATGGGGAACATTGTGGGGGATTTGGGCGGTGGCAGGAGTGGGCGGAGAAGAGGGATGATGAATGGGGATATGTGGGGGGAAGAGAGGACGAGTGCGGAAGCAGGGAGCAACAGCTTTGGAACCAGAACAGCAAAGAGCCGAGCGAAACCAGAACTGCAAACCATTCTATTCAATTGAAAAGGTGAGAAGGCTCCAGCAGCGAAACCAGAACTGCAAGAAACAAGCGAAGCTACCAGCGCGCGTCCTTGAAGGGACCTCCTCAAAGGGGGAGCCGGCACGAGCCCAAGCGCAAGCGCATGCAGCAATGAACCCGAGCGCCCCCGAACCCTCCAGCAGGAAGCGGGGCCGGATTCTAGCATCTAGCGATGGATGTGTACCCTGAGGTGCTGCCGGGACGAGCATAGATTGCCCCACGCGTCCCACAGCGCCTCCCCAAATGGCTCCTGCGGCCGCCTGCCCTCCCCACCCACGCCCACAGCCGCCACACAGAATGCCCGTGCACGCACATGCGAACAAGGAGGGTGGAGAAAGAGAGAGATGGGCGGGAGGCAGTGGGGTGAGGCGTTGAGGGTGGGAGGGAGGGGGGTACCTTGAGGTGCGAGCTGGAGGACACGAGGGCCGACCACGCGTCCCACAGGTCCTCGCCTAGGTTCTTGTGCCGCCTGCCACGGCCGCATGCAAGGCAAGGCACGGTCGTACATGCAGTCAGCAGAGCGCACTGCAGTTATGCTGCAGCCGTGCAGCTATGCTGCCAAAATATCCGTGCGGTCTGTGGCAGAAAGCCGCAAGGGCGTTCAGCTCGCGCGCTGGGTTGCACTCGGATGACGGCATGGCAGCATGGCAGTTGCAGCTGCTGAACGTTGTTGCCATTGTCATGGCAGGCTAAGCAGAATACCTGGCAGAGGAGGGAAGTGCATTTGTCTAGAGAAACGGGGCTGTGGCTAACCAGAGAGTACAAATGTGGAGAGAATAGTGCACATGGGAGGAAAAAGTGGGATGTGCGTGGGAGAAAACGCTGGTTGTCTGGGCTTACCGGAACGTGTGGAAAAGAAACCCGCCGAGGAACACGAGCGTGGTGCACATGGCCATGAGCAGCATGATGTAGCTGATGCGGCGGGAGACAAGGCACACGGAGAGGACGAGGGTGGTTTTTTAGGCGCCTCAACACTTGGACACATGGCCGCGGGCAGCATGATGTAGCTGGCGTGAGACAGGGTCAAGCACAGAGAGCGGAGGAGTTTTGAGACGTCTCAAAGCTCCCCAAGCATTGTGCGCATGGCCGTGAGCAGCATGATGAGCAGCAGGCGTGGCGAGAGATGGGCACACGCACAGAGGGAGGTAGACACGGACAGGCACAGGGAGAGGAGAAGGGGGAGGCAGAGACAGAGAGCGACACGTGTAAGGAACTGCAGTGGCATGTCGGTGAAAAGGGTGCAGAGCAAGAGCACGGATGCCCCGAACGCAGGAGGAGGAGGAAAAGGAGGAGGAGGAGGAGGAGGAAGAGGAGGAGGAGGAGGAGGAGGAGGAGGAGGAGGAGGAGGAGGAGGAGGAGGAGGAGGAGGAGGAGGAGGATGAGGAGGAGAGGAGGAGGAGGAGGAGGAGGAGGAGGAGGAGGAGGAGGAGGAGGAGGAGGAGGAGGAGGAGGAGGAGGAGGAGGAGGAGGAGGAGGATGAGGAGGAGGAGGAGGAGGAGGAGGAGGAGGAGGAGGAGGAGGAGGAGGAGGAGGAGGAGGAGGAGGAGGAGGAGGAGGAGGAGGAGGAGGAGGAGGAGGAGGAGGAGGAGGAGGAGGAGGAGGAGGAGGAGGAGAGGAGGAGGAGGAGGAGGAGGAGGAGGAGGAGGAGGAGGAGGAGGAGGAGGAGGAGGAGGAGGAGGAGGAGGAGGAGGATGAGGAGGAGGAGGAGGAGGAGGAGGAGGAGGAGGAAAAGGAGGAGGAGGAGGAGGAGGAGGAGGAGGAGGAGGAGGATGAGGAGGATGAGGAGGAGGAGGAGGAGGAGGAGGAGGAGGAGGAGGAGGAGGAGGAGGAGGAGGAGGAGGAGGAGGAGGAGGAGGAGGAGGAGGAGGAGGAGGAGGAGGAGGAGGAGGAGGATGAGGAGGATGAGGAGGAGGAGGAGGAGGAGGAGGAGGAGGAGGAGGAGGAGGAGGAGGAGGAGGAGGGGGAGGAGGAGGAGGAGGAGGAGGAGGAGGAGGAGGAGGAGGAGGAGGAGGAGGAGGAGGAGGAGGAGGAGGAAGAGGAGGAGGAGGAGGCACAGGAGGTGAAAGATAGCGACGCACACGACAGGGTGGCGCTCCAGCAGCACGTCCCACAGGTACTGCACGCGCGCCCACCGCCACTCCCTCACCAGCTTCCCCCACGCCCCCCCTGGCGCGAACAGCGATCCTATGCCCGTCTCCCGCCGCTGCCCTTGCTGCCAGTCGAACGAGCCGTGGGACGGGTCAGAAAGGCTTTGGCTTTCAGAGGGGCCGAAGAGGGGCACAGGCAGCCCCACCTGCAGCCCTATCTGCCCGTCTACCGGCCGGGGCACCCACTCTGACGTGGAGCCAATCACGCGCTGCCAAATGGACGCTAGGTTGGGCGATGTGGCGGCCAAGGGAAGGGGCGCGGGGGCGTGGAGAGCGGTGGAGAGTGGTGGGGATGGGAGGGTGGATTGGGAGGAGGTGGCGGGAGGGGCAGCGGTGGTGGTAGAACTGGCTGCGTTGATGGTTCCAGTGTCAGCAGCATGAGCAGCTGCAGCAGCGCCACTGCGAGTACCTGTGGCAGTAGTAGCAGCGCCAGCATCGGTGTCAGCAGCAGTGGCAGCAGCAGTGGCAGCGGTAGCAGCGCCAGGAGCAGAAGAGCTCCCCTGACTGGGCCCTTGAGAGGCGAGGGAGGGAGCAAGAGTGGCTGCCGTGGCACTTGGGGGGGCGAGGCGGAGTCCAGTGGGGGGACAGGGTGTGAGGGGGGAGACGAGGGCGGCGAGGAAGGGCGCAGAGAGCAGGGCGAGGGCCTGGTGGAGGGAGGAGAGGATGAGAAGGGAAGATAAGGAGCGCGAGGGGAATCCATGATGGGGAAACTGGAGCCTGAGAAGGAAGGGGAATGAGATGGTAGGCATCCCAATGTGTTACGTCGCATGCACATCAAAGTGCCAGGATACCACGTCGCATGCATATCGTATTGCCAGGATACCACATTGCATGCATACCAGATTGCCAGGATACCACATTGCATGCATACCAGATTGCCAGAATGCCACATTGCATGCATACCAGATTGCCAGAATGCCACATTGCATGCATATCAGATTACCAGGATACCACAGTGCATGCATACCTAAGTTACCAAGTTACCAGGATGCCACCAAGCACTTATGCCAGATTACCCCTGTACCAACCGCAACTTACCAGTGTCGAATTCCGCATATGCCATGTCAGCTGCTCCTTCCAGTTCTTGCCAATCACGTGCGGCTTAGCCTCTGTGCCACTATCGTATGTGCTTGTATCGCAGCTTCGTCCATCTCGGTTCTTGTCTGTTCTATGATGGGGGTTTCCAGCAGCACCGGCAGCGAAAACCACGGGATTGCTTCCGCTGCACGAGACATCTAGGAAGCTTCGGCTTCTGGCGGTATTCTGCCGGATTAAATAAGCTCTTGTGCTGCAATCGCCGTCCGTGTCTCGCCTTTTACTGGCTCCTGCATCATTGCTACAGCATCGTACGCCAGTTAAATTCCTCCTGTCAGACCTATTTTCCTCGAAGCCGGGCCTTATAGCGCGTACGAAGTGTGCCTTGCGACGTTGGTGAAATGCGTTAGAGGAATGCGGAAGATTCCTCGGCATTAGATATGGTCTTTTGACGACGCAATGCGCCACGTCAGCAGGACGAACAGCGCCGCGAAAAGTCGCCATTTCGTGCAGCACAGACGACGCCACGTGGTTTGGTCTACTATAGTGACAATCTCGCACCGCATTAGTCACATATGGCTGAATCCCAGGCGCCATTGCGGGAGATATGGCGGAAAAAACGCGTGCGCAAAATAGAGGAACGACTAACGACAATGCATTAGGAAGAATCGCACACCGCTAGGGCCCAGATACGGATTGATATCTGCGACACTGACGGCACAGGGCCTGAGGAGGCATGTAATGCAGCCAACCAGCAGGCAAGCATGGGAGGTGAGGAGAGGAGGCTGGAAGCTGGATAGGACGGGCTCAGTTCAGTGAATTGCGCGGGAAAACGGCTGACATCGGTGTTGGCGTCTGACGTCAATAGTTGACGGCTCTGATAATCGAGGAAAACAACTGTAGCAACTACTTCGAATTTGTTTCGCTACACATCTTTGCCTCAAAATTGTACTTTCCTCAACTTATATCAAAATACACGACATTTCAAGTGATTCAAACCCAGCAAACATTTCACTGTAAGATTCAACATTTACAACAAACCCCTAACGATTTTTACAGGGGTTTCTTATGCCTGTCGCGTCTTTCTACCTATTTCACTCATCACTCCCAAAAAAGCAGACACTTCAACTCATTTCTTCTCCTGGTCGTAGACTCGATGCTTCCAAGTCACCAGCACACTTCCTAGGCCGCTACAAGGGGGTCGGAACTGCTGCTGCTGCTGCCTTCAGTCCTCACCTCAAAATGCCCACCCCCAACTTCACCCAGGGCATCACCCTCAAGAGCCCCATCGCCCCCAGCAGCCGCCTCACCCCCCTCTCGCCCCCCCGAGCTCCACCAGCACCCGCCATGCCCATCAAACACGGCCTCGGCGCGCACGAACCCCACCACGCGCCTCTCCTCCCCCGCGCCCCTCTGCGCGGCTTCCTTGGCGAGCCCGTAACGCATGCGCGCACTACCCGCCACCACTGCCGCAAGCGGCGTGCGCTGCGAGGACAGCAGCAGGGCCGCCTCGGAGATGGTGGAGAGCGACGAGAGCGACGGCGGGGGGGGCAGCATGAGGTGGGTGATGAGAGAGGCAGGGTCCTGCAGTTGGGGGTAGAGAGAGAAAGAGGGTGGTGGGGTCGAGTTTGGACGGGGCTGTTGAAACTGGGATGATGGATTGACGGGTGCAGGTGGTGAAGGAAGCCATGTGGACAAGCCCCCAACAGCACCACGCGTGAGTATGTTCAGCTCACATCACATGTTACCCATGTGTCCTATGGCACTCACCGTGGCATGGCTCGGTACTCTCAGCACGCCCACACACTCGTCAGCGCCGTTGATCACAGGGATGACGTCACCAGGCATCAGATCCGGCCGTGCTGACCTCAGCTCCGCCAGTGATTGGTCAGGATGGGCCACTGCCACGTCAGCCAAGGGAACCATGACAGACTGCACTGTCTCACGCAGCGACAGCTGGCGGGTAGAAGGGGAGGAGAGGAGAGGGAAGGGGATGAGGGAGGGGCAAAGGCGGAGAGGGAGAGAAGTAAAGAAAGAGGAGGGTGAGGGGCCGTGACTGACTTGTGCAGCGAATAGAGGGTGCTGATAAGGGGGGAGATGAAGCAGGGTGAGGGAGAGATGTGAACTGAGAAGGCCAGCAGAGAGGGACAAGCAGCTTCAAGAGCAAACAAGGCAGGAGGGTATGCAATGGGGAGGTGGGGGCAGGAAAAAATGGTGGAGGTGAAAGGCATGGGGAAAGGCCACAAGAGGGCGTGCAGTGAAAGTGGGAAGGAAAGAATGGCGGTAGGAGAAGGTTATGTTATGAGAGGAATGAGGGGGCGTTGAGGGGAGGGAGAGAGACACCGATGGGGATGAAGCGAGGGATAGAGGGGTCGAGACAGAGGGGGGTCATGAGAGAGGGGGGTTTGAGATGAGAGAGCGAGCGTGTGTGTGAGAGAGAGTGGAAGGAAGGAGCACCGTTTTGGGCACCTCTTGTCTGATGCCGATGGGTGTGAAGCGCTCAAAGCCCGCCCCCGTGGCTGCCATCAGCTGCACCACCGCCTGCCAGGCACCAGCCGTCAACGGGGGTCAATGTGAGTCAACAGAGTCAATGGGATGGGAGTCAATGAGAGTAAGGAGGGTGCGCATGAGTCAATGGGGCACCTGCAGAGAGACACCTGCAGCTGAGTCCAAATGACCCTGCTGGAAGCAGGGTGAGCAGGGTCAACGGGGCACCCTGCTTCCTGCTGACCCAATGCGAGTCATGGCATGGCATGCCTGCAGAGACACCTGCAGCTGAGTCCCATGCATGGCGTGGCATGGCATAGCACGCTGCACAACGCTGCTGCTGCCCGTGCATGACCTCCGTCTGATTTCATAACCCGGAGTGGCATGTTATGGCACGGTAGATCATGGCATGGTGTGTTGTAGTGGCATACCTGCATGCCTCTGAGTGACATTTGAGTCGACTCAAAACTATGGTGTGTTCTAGTGGCATACCTGCATGCCTCTGAGTGACATTTGAGTCGACTCAAAACTATGGTGTGTTATAGTGGCATACCTGCATGCCCCTGAGTGACATCCGCAGCTGGTGCCCGTGCATGGCCTCCATCTGGTCCAACAACCTGGCTGCCACGCCCATCTGAGGGAGGAGGGAAGGACGGAAGGAAGGAGGAAAACGGGGAAGAGGGGAGGGGCAGAGAAGGAGGGGATGCTTGAGAAGGAGGAAAGGGGAGAGCACAAGGGGAACTGGAGGAAACAAGCCCATGGCCCCAAACATGCACACATCACCATTGGTGCAATGCGACCACGGCATGTGCTACACACACACATACACAGAGCCAGGCGCGGTAGCATGAGACAGAGAGATGTCTAGGCTGGGAGATCCTGCATGCGAGCGAGTGAGAGAGAGAGAGGTGAACTGTGATGGGCAAAGCTCTGGCAGCAGCTTCATCCGGCAAGGGTTCGGCACGGAGCCAAGCCCGAGGAAAGGAGAGCAGGCCCGGAGCAATGGGAGCAGGGAGCGACCCACCTGCCCGGCCTTGGTGGCAGCCTCCAGCACCAGCTCTGCCGCCTCTGCCCTCTCCTCGGGAGCAAAGAGAGAGAGGGCAGACATGCGGAGAGCAAGGCACAGGCAACAACACACCAGAGCACCAGAGCACCAGAGCACCAGAGCACCAGAGCACCAGACCACCAGAGCACCAGAGCACCAGAGCACCAGAGCACCAGAGCACCAGACCACCAGAGCACCAGAGCATCAGCCAAGGAACAGAGAGCCCACCTGCCCAGCCTTGGTCGCCGCCTCCAGCACCAGCTCTGCCGCCTCCGCTCTCTCCTCCGGCCACACCCTGCCGCCCGCATCGCGCACGAGCCGGGCGGCGAGCTGCTGGGTGGCGGTGAGGTCGCCGGCAGCGGCAAGAGAGCGCATGAGCGAGAGGAACACGTGCGCTCGCGGCCTCATGGCGCGGTCCGTTTGACCCAACGCTTCTAACTCTGCCATGCACTGCAGGGCGTCTGGCAGTGGGGGAAGGGGGGGGGGGGGAGGGGAGGGGGGAAGAGGAGGAAAGAACACTCAGTTGCCAGCAGCAGCGCGCACATGAGAGAGAGGAACACGTGCGCTCACTCACAGCCTCATGGCTCGGTGGGTGTGTCTGGCCTTGTGCCTCCAGCTCCGCCATGCAATGCAGGGCGTCTGGAAAGAGAGGGGGTGGAGGTGGGTGGGTGGGTGGGTGGGGAGGGTCACAGGGAAGCAGTGGCGCACACATGCCCTTGGGATGCATGGCTTGCCGTCTGGCCCTGTGCCTCCAGCTCCGCCATCCAGTGCAGGGGTCTGGTGTGGGGGATGGGGAGAAAGGGGTGCGAGGGGATCGTGCATGCGCTGTCGCAAAGGGGTCTGGTGGGGGGGATGGGTGAAAGGCATGCAGGGCAGGAAAGCAAGGCGTGTGGGGACAGAGGTAGGGGATGGGAGTGAGGGGAACCCCATCCATGCATCCATGCATGCCCCAAGAGGCACGTACATCCATGCATGCCCCAAGAGGCACGTACATCCATGCATGCCCCAAGAGGCGCATACATCCATGCATGCCCCAAGAGGCGCGTACATCCATGCATGCCCCAAGAGGCGCATACATCCATGCATGCTTCAAGCGGCGCGTACATCCATGCATGCTTCAAGTGGCGCATACATCCATGCATGCTTCAAGCGGCGCGCACATCCATGCATGCTTCAAGCGGCGTGTACATCCGGACCAAACTTACCTTGGGGCGAGCCGACAGCGATGAAAGCGTCGATAATGGCAGTGTACGCCACACGGTCCATCACCAACGGATTGCTCGTGCTGCTGCTGCTGGCGACGGCACTGGCAATGCTGCTCGCATCCTCTACGCCTTGATCGGCCAGCACCCCCTGGCAGTGCGGCTGGGTAGGGCTGCCCCTGACGCAGCTGGCGCGCTTCATGTCCGCCACCACGTCCCTCAGGGCCTCGATGTCACCCTCCTCAGATAGACCCTGGCGGGGGGAGATGGAGGGAGGGGATAAGAGATCGAGGTGACCTCTCACGCAGCAGGCGCGCTTCAGGCCGCCACCACGTCCCTGAGGAATTCTATGTCGCCCTCCTCTGACAGACCCTGGTGGGCAGACAGGGCGGGGAGAGAGAACAGGGGAGAGAGAACAGGGGAGAGAGAACAGGGGAGAGAGAACAGGGGAGAGAGAACAGGGGAGGGGGTAACGGGGTGACCTCTGAGTGAGTCACGCAGCTGGCGCGCTTCCTGTCCGCCACGTCCCGAAGGGCTTCCATGTCACCCTCCTCGGATAGACCCTGGAGGGGGGAGGGATAATTAGAGAGGGGAAGGGGAATGGGACGAAGTACGGGAGGGAGGGAGGGAGGGAAGGGAGGAGGGAGGGAGAGGCGGGCATGAAGCACAAGGAGAGACACAGGAGTAGGCAAGCTGGAATGGATGAGAGGGAGGGTGAAGAGGGATGGGGAGGAGGGATGGGGAAGAGGGATGGGGAGGAGGGATGGGGAGGAGGGGGGGTGATTGATGCTTGTGCTACAGCGCTTAGCACATGTCAAAGGTGTACCTTGATGATGGTGGTGTAGGTGACGGCATACCTTGATGATGGTGGTGTAAGTGACAGCATCTGGCAGCAGGTCATCGTCGCCTCTTCTCAACGCCTCCGCCTGCGAAGAAACGAGCAAAAAGAGAACGGCCCCAGTGGCGCATGGAGAAACACACATGAGTGCACGCACATGCGCACGCATGCATTCCCTCTCAAGAGTCATGCCAGATACAGGGCAGGGATAGATCAAGGTAAGGACGGGAGGAGCCTGTAGCAGGTGGCCATGCACTTCAGATCCGATCCTGCCGCTGGTCGCACGCTCTGTCCTCGTCGCCTCGCCCGCTTCCATGCCCTGCATTCATTCGCTTCCATGCCCTGCATTCATTCGCTTCCATGCCCTGCATTCATTCGCTTCCATGCCCTGCATTCATTCGCTTCCATGCCCTGCATTCATTCGCTTCCATGCCCTGCATTCATTACTCTCACCCCACCCCCACCTTCTCTGCACCCATGCCCCCTGCACCCATGCCCCCTGCACCCATGCCCCCTGCACCCATGCCTCGGCGCCCATGCCCCTGCACCCATGCCTCGGCGCCCATGCCCCTGCACCCATGCCTCCTGCGCCCATGCCCCTGCGCCCATGCCCCTGCGCCCATGCCCCTGCGCCCATGCCCCTGCGCCCATGCCCCTGCGCCCATGCCCCTGCGCCCATGCCCCTGCGCCCATGCCCCTGCGCCCATGCCCCTGCGCCCATGCCCCTGCGCCCATGCCCCTGCGCCCATGCCCCTGCGCCCATGCCCCTGCGCCGGCTTTATGCTCGTCAATCATTCGTCTCCCCCCACTGTCACCATCCCTCACCCTCATGTCCGGCAGCAGGTCGAGCGCCCTGTCCATGTCCCCCGAACCCCCCATTCATGCCCCCATGCTCACAGGGGGGGAGATCCATATCCCTCGCGTCCTGCCGTCTTTCGTCTTTCGTCTTTCGTCTTTTATCCTGCAGCAGGTCGAGCGCCCTGTCCGTCCACGTCCCCCACGCACACGCACGCGAGGCTTCTGCCTGCTGGCATTTCACCGCATTTCACCGCATCTCACCGCACCTGACCTTCCACCACCCACCTTCATGTCCTGCAGCAGGTCGAGCGCCCTGTCCATGTCCCCCGCGCGCACGCACGCGAGGATGAGGCAGTTGAAGGTCACCCGCTCCCACTGCAGCCCTTGCAGGTGCATCTCCTCCGCCACGCTCAGCGCCTCCATGGGGTTGTCCGACCGCGCGTAGCCCTGGTGTATGGGGTTGACCCGGGGAGGGGAGGGAGGGATGAGGAGAAACGAAGGGAGGACAGTTGAAGGTGATCCGCTCCCACAGCAGCCCCTGCAGGTGCATCTCCTCGGCGACACTGAATGCCTCCATGGGGTTGTCTGACTGCGCATAGCCCTGGAGTATGGGGGTGGTTCGGGGGAGGGGAAGGGGGTAGCTACGGGCAATAACAGCCCCTGGAGGTGCATCTCCTCCGCTACACTCAATGCTTTCATGGGGTTGTCTGACGGTGCGTGGCCCTGGGAGGCTAGGGGGAAGGGCGTTTGAAAGGGGGGGGGAGAAGGAGAGGAGGAGGAGAGGGGATTAGGGGGAACGGGAAGGGATGAGGCAGCTGAAGCGCGGGAGCGAAGGCGCAGACGCGGCAATGGTAGCAGCCAGCAGGCGAATGAGGATGCAGCAACCTGGGCGCACCTTGAGCAGCAGCCTGGGCGCACCTTGAGCAGCAGCCTGGGCGCACCTTGAGCAGCAGCCTGGGCGCACCTTGAGCAGCAGGTTGTAGGTAAAAGCAGACGGCCCAATGGCCCCGGAGAACGCGCGCTTGTAGCGCTGCACCACGCTCATAGCGCGCCGAGCGTCCCCCGCGTCCGCGCACGCGTTCACGAGCGTGTTGAGGTGCACCGCCGTCAGCTCCGGCCGCCCCGGCGCTGTACCGTCCTCCATCGCTTCCAACACCTCAAACGCGTCGTCCAACCGCTTTGCACGGCCTAAGCCCTGTGGGGATGAGAGGGAGGGGAGTGAGAGATATGGTGGGTGAGGCGAGATAAGACGAAACAGATGTCTGGGTCGACAGATGTCTGGGTCGACAGATGTCTGGGTCGACAGATGTCTGGGTCGACAGATGTCTGGGTTGACAGACTTGAGCAGCGCACCTTGAGCACCGCACCTTGAGCGGCGCACCTTGAGCAGCGCACCTTGAGCAGCGTGCCGTAGGTGATGGAGTCGACGCCAGTGCCGCCGTCCGCCGTCATGTCGTCGAAGAGGTCGAGCGCGCGGTCGATGTCGCCGCAGTTCACGCACGCCGCCATGGCGGCGTTCAGCGTGATCATGTTCACGGCCTTTTTGTTCTGCTTGGCGCCCTCCAGCAATTGAAACACCTGCGATGGGGTGGACAAGGAACGGGACAAGGAACGGGACAAGGAATGGGACGAGGAATGGGACGAGGAACACCTGCAGCAGAGTGGGACAGGGAGCCGCCGTGATTCCGTTTGGTTTTCTCCGTTCTTTCTTTAGCCTTTAATCCCATTCCTTGTCTCCTATCCGACTCATAAACCTGCCAGTTCACAAAACTGCCGGCTCATCAACCTGTCGTTGCTTGCCGCTTAACTGATCCGCGTTATGCTCCTCCACGTCACCTCTTCGAGCCACGAGCTGCCACGACTTCCACGTCACCTCTTCAAACCACGAGCTGCCACGACTGGCCTCGAAACGCCTGGTCCAACTTATCTCCACTACGTATCTCTCTCTTAGCTACCTGGTGACTTTTGAGTCGACTCAAAAGCTACCTGGGCCACCTGCCGTCGTTCATCCCTTCACGCCTTCACGCGTGACCCAACCCCCACCCCTGCCTCCACAATCTCTGCCCTATCTCCTCTCTCTCGCGTTACCGTCCACCCTCTCTCTCTCTCTTCGCTACCTGGTCCAGCTGCCGTCGTTTGCCCGCTTACCCGGAACCGGCCTTTCTACTCGTCTGGGCCCCTGTCGACATCTCCTCTCTCTCGCCTCTCTACCGGCGCCGGTATCTCGTCCAGCTGCCAGCGCCTGCCCAGCCCCACGATCCGTCTGATAATCACCGTGTTTTAAAATGTCTCAAAAAACGATTATTATCACACTGGCTATACGCTTAACCGCGTGGGCCCCTGACTCTATCTCCTCTCTCGCCTCTCTACCTGGTCCAGCCGCCATCGCGTGCCCTTTTACGCGTAGCCGGCCACCCCATCCCTCTCTACCTACCTGGTCCCTCTCTCGCCTCTCTACCTGGTCCAGCTGCCGTCGTTTCCCGAGCTCCACGATCCGCCTCGTCAGCATGCGCGCCTCACCCGCGCTCGACTCCCGCTTCTTCCGCCAAAACGGCCACTGCGGCTGCGCCGGCGGCTCCACCTGCAATGCTTCCGCCAGCCCCTCCGCGCCCCCTTTCCCCCGCGCCTCGCGCGTTGCGCGCTCCACCTCCTTCTTCCGCCGCTCCTCCGACAAGAGCTCCGCCGATGACCGCCTCCGCGCAAGAACCCCGCGTCTTTCCCCCGCCTTCTGCTGCTGTTGCTGCGGTCGGCGCTGCTGCTGCGAACGCTGCTGCGTTTCCCCTGTCCCCGATAAAGATCCCGATCCCCCGCTATAAGACCCGCCAAGCGACAGCCCCGAGATCGAAACCGCCACTCGCGGCACGGTCACGCCGCCCCGTGCGCGCTGGTTGCCGTTGGTCCACGTCCGCGCGTAACTTTCCCCCCCGCCGTCACTCGCGCGGATGCCGGCACCATTGCGGCTGCTTGCCCTGCTGCTGCCAGCTTCGACGGCCGCTCTGGTGCCAGATGGCACGAGGCGATCTAACGGCTGATCTGACAGCAAATCGACGGACGAGCGATGATGGCGGTGCAATAACGACGGGGAGAAGGTGGGATCTAACGAGGGAACGAAGAGCGAGGAGGACCCGGACGCGAGAGAGGCTGTGTCCACGAAGCGTCGATGGAGGAGAGCCGTCGATCCGTGCGACGCCGCCATGGTCAAGCCAAGTCAAGTCAAGGCGAGTCAAGGCAAGGCTGGACTGGCACCCCTAGTACACCAGGATGCCTAGCAGCGCTGCCAGACGAGAGCCTCTAAAAGGCACGCCTAAACCATGTCAAGTGCACGAGCGCCAGGCAAGACAGGTCCCTTTGCAAGCAACCGGTGCTGTGCCGTGGAGGTAAAGGTGACGCGGCGTGTGGTGGGAATGGTGGTGCAGTCCCCCAGTGTGTGCAACACACACAGGAGAGACACACCCTTGGAATGAAAGAGTGGGAATGGAAAGCTGCGTGGCTGGTGAATCCAATTCCGAGGAGGCAAGGCGAGCAGTGAGGGGGATCAGAGCACTGACGGAACCCAACTGACGGACAACACATCCATGGCCAGGCAGCGGGCGGGAATGCCGACTAACAGACGAACACAGGGATGTGGGAAATCCCTAACTTGGCGGCCTAGAAGCTCCCGACCACTCGCGCGATTCCACGTCACCAGTTCTGTATCTGACCCAGGCGGCCGTACCAATCCCACGCCTGTTTCGAACGAAATCAGCGAGGCAACTGATTGATCGTGCCGGAATAGCAACGATATATCTACAGTACCGAGATGGATTTTCAAATTTCAAGACATTATTCGATACATCGGCCATTCACCTTTCCAAAGAATGGGAGCAAAATTTTGTGTTGACTAAAGAATTACGGGATATGTGCATTGGAGAACTGACTAAATGTAGACTTTTTTGAGGCAGAACATTGAGAAAACAAGGGTAGAACCATTGCAAGAGGAAAAAGGCCCTCTTTACATCTCATGAATACAACAGCTGCTGTCCAACCTAGCCAATGCCTTGGCCTGCCTATGCCTCGTTGACTGCCAGGTCTTTCTCCCCCACGGGCGCATGCCTGGCTCGGCTTTCTGTGTGAGCACTCAACCCTCTAGGCGGCGGACTTGCCCTTCTTCTTCTGCATCTTCTTCACGTAGAACTCCAGCTCCTTGCCCTCCAGGATGTATCTGAGAGCGACCATCACACAACACAAAACCGCATGTCAGCAGCCAGTCTTAAAAACTACAATATATGGGTAATTAATGGTGAGCTTGAGCAGGGGTACGCAAGGAGGGAGGGGGGGGGGGGGGGGGGGGGGGGAGCTGAAAATTGGAAGTAACAGAAGAAAAGGGGAGTAAAGGAGACTAGACATTGCAAGAGCAGCAAGGAGAGCACAAGGGAAGTGGATGGGGATATGCCAGGCACGCCAGGTGGCAGCACAGGAAGCAGAGCACTCACCCGTCGCAGCGGCCGCACTGGCCGGGGCGCGAGGCGATGCAGGCGTAGAGGCGGCCGGCGGCGAACTGGTCCTCGAGATGGGGGTCGAGCTTGTGCGTGGCGAGGCGCTGCTCGTGCTTGCGCTTCACGTGCGCGCTCACCTTCTTCACCTCCTCGCCCGCCTCGCCCTCCGCCTTCTCCTCCTCCTCGCCCTACAGCATGGGTGACAGGGAACGGGGGGTGATGAATGGGGGTTGGTGGGAAGAGTGAGGAGCGGAAGAGGAATGACAAGGCAAGGGGCTCCTTCCGCGCCTCGTCCGGCCGGCCTCAGACTTCTCCCCCTCCTCCCCCTCCCAGGGGCACCGGCAGTCACGGCTGGCAGGGGATGGAAGTGCGAGGGTTGCATTGGGGTTGGGGTCGGATGAGTGGGAGAGGGGACAGCAGTGACGAGGAGGTGCCGCCGCGCCAGCATGTGCCGCGCTCACGTCAGCCAAGCCAAAGAGTGTGTGAGCCACACGCGTGCATAAGCCATCGTTTCCCTCTCCGCAACCAATCCCTCCTCCCAAACCCCCTTTCCTTTTCCCCTCACACCGCCCCCCGGCGAGCGCCCCATTACCCCAAGCGTGCACCCCCGGTAACCCGCCCATCAACCCCGTAGTGTTGTTCATACCACCGCCGAAGCCCTCCCTCCCTCTCTGAATGCCCCCCTTCCGCGACCCCAGCCATCTGGCACCACTGGCGGAACGGGGCACCCGCATTCTTGCCCCGGGCGGCACCTCTCCTATCCCAATCCCTCACTCCCTCCCTGTCACCCTTGGCCTCTATCCCCAGCTCCACGCCGTACTGCTGCTGGGTACCACCTGCCCAATAGCCGCCTGGTGCCGCTAAACCCCGAGGGCGTGCACCCATAACCCTAAAACGCCCCTCCCTTCATCCCTCACCTCCTCCTGCCGCCCTTGGCCTTCTTCCCGAGGTTCACGCCGCGGCGCTGCGGAACAAAACAGCGGCCCCCAGGCCGTGGGTCCGTATTCCCGACCCCCCCCCTCCCCCGTTCCCTCAACCCTCCTTGCCGCCCACCTCCCTCTCGCCTCTACCCCCTTCGCCGCTCACCTCCTTCTTGCCGCCCTTGGCCTTCTTCTTCCCGAGGTCGACGCCGTAGTGCTGCTGGTACCACTGGCGGAACGGGGCCGCGTCGACCTGAATGATGGCGTTCTTCACGAGCGTCTGCGTGCGCACGAGCTCGTTGTTGCTCGCGTTGTACGCCACGTCCAGGATGCGCGTCTTGCGCGTCACCGCCTCGCTGCCCCACGCGTAGTTGCCCGTGTCCAGGCGCAGCGCGCGGAACTTGTAGTTCCCCCCGCGGACGCGGATCCGCCGCACCGTCTTGTGGCTGCTCAGCTTCGTGTTGGCCGCCTGCCGACCCAAGTCATACCTGTAAGGGGAAGGGGGAACAGGGGGGAAGGGGGGGAGGGGGGAAGGGGGGGAGGGGAGGGGAAACGACGATGAGGGGCTGGAGATGGGGTAGGAAGAGGGGGCGAATACGGGGTCGCGGTCCCATGGCTGAGCGCCATCCCAAGCTTGCAGGGAGAGATGCGAGGGGAGGGGAAGCGACAGCAAGGGAAGGCGGGGGAAAAGGGGGATTCACGGAGAGATCACTAATTCCTCAGCCCGTGCGACCGCTGCGACTCACACTCCTCGACCTGCGCGACCGGTTGCGACTCACTCTGCGACCACTGCGACCGGTTGCGACTCACTCTGCGACCACTGCGACCGGTTGCGACTCACTCTGCGACCACTGCGACTACACATCCGACCACTCCTCCATTCTCAGGGAAGGACGGAGAGCCTCTTCCCTGAGAAAAGGCTAGTCCTCGCCTCCTTTCCCCTCTGGTCGCCGGGCTCTCCTCTCGCCGGACTCTCCTCTCGCCAGACTCTCCTCTCGCCGGCAATCTGAGCTGCCGAATCCTCCACTTGAGCCGATGGGAAATCACAGCACACATCTAGGCCAGCTAGGTGAGCTGAGCTAGGTGAGCTCACACATCAAGGCCAGCTAGGTGAGCTGCACTACCGGCCGAATGCTCCGCCCCTTGCTGGCATCACCGCTGCTGCGCTGAATCGAGCGGCGAAGATACCGTGCGAGTCGCACGCCTGGGCCGGCAGGTCGGCCATCGCGCGACGACTTAAGAGTCGACTGGATAGCTACCGCGTCGCATGAGACGCCTAGGTCGACAGGCCGGCCTTCGCGCGATAAGACGGGGAGAGCGCACGGGCAATGCTGTGACGCTGCGAAATCCCATGTGACAGCTGTTTTGAATATAGAACCTGCGACGTTGCGCAAGACACTGGGGCTAGGGGGTGGGACGACTGACTTGCGCTTCTTGCGCCCCTGGGGATAACGGGGAAGAGGGGAGCGGGGGAGGGGCGGCTTACTTGCGCTTCTTGCGCCCCTGGGGATAAGGGGGAAGAGGGGAGCGGGGGAGGGGCGGCTTACTTGCGCTTCTTGTGCCACGGCTTCTTCTTTCCTCCTGTTGCCCGTCGCTTGTGCAGCGAGTCACGAGAGATACCTGCCGCGCACGAGAGACAAGACGTGGCGACACGGAGACACGGAACGACGCGACACGCGACGAGAGCAGAGGGAGAAACAAAAGAGGAAGGCACAGGGCACAGAGACGAACGGCACAGGGAGAGCATGCTTAGAACAAGCAAACTGAACATCTTTGCGACGGCAGGAGAAGAGGGCACAACCGTGTGAGAAGCCGAGAGCTTGGAGACCACGATATTCTCTACTCTGCGGAAAGCCGCTTCAAACCCTAATTTCGAGTTAACGCTCCAGAGCCAGAAAAGCGGAATACGCTAAGAATCTCGGTCTCTCCTGACTCTCCGATGCAACTGGCGTCGCAACCGTCGGATCTCTGTCTACACCGCACCGACTGATCGAGACCGTTCAAGGCCTCTCTAATCCTCTGCCTGGCAAACACTCTCATCGAGGGATCAGAAGTCGCGAGCAAAAAGGCTAAATTCGCTAACAGAACTACGAATCGCCCTGCTCAGCCGCTTCCGACAGTTCCACACCACGCTCATCCCTAAAACCGCATTTCACTGCGCGTCGGCAGAGAATTATCGACTGCTTCTAATACGGGCGTAACAACCGGCGACGGCAACCAAATAGTAAGTTAGGGTTAGGGAGGTAGAGCGTACCCATGATGGGGGAGGATCAGAGCCGTGAAGCCCAATAGAAACTGCGAAAGAGAGCAAGTAATGGCAGATGGAGCAGCTATGATAGTGCTGCTGCTGGGAGAGGGAGGCAGGGAGGCGAGGGGAACGCAAGGGAGAAAGGGGGTTCAGATGGGGGAGCAGGAGGTTGGAAATGGGAAACGGCGAGGGGGAGTCGGCGGGAGAGGGGGAGGGCGCGAGAGGAAACGGCGGACGTGGAGTTGTTGCCCAGAGAAATTGTAAGCTCAGGGCAGGGATCGAACAAAAGGACGTGGGTCATCGGGGGGATGCGGCGGAAATTGTATGCTGAGGCGGAAACTGCCGCGGAGCTTGGCCGGAACGAGTTGGGGGCGCAGGACGAGGGAGGGTCTAGCGGACGAACGATTTCGGGGCAATGCGAAATGCTGGGTCCAAGGGACACTGATCAGTATTTGATGCGCATGCACAGAAAAAAACATGTTAGCTGTATGAAAATCTACCACCTTGCATCCTCTTCTATCGTTTTTCATGTAAATTCACACGTATTAACAGGTAATCTAAAGGCGACATGTCTCTTTGTGGCACGATCAGACTTTCATTTGTTGCACGCATTAGAGTGGAAATCCAGTATGAAGTTTGTAAATCCATCTACAGAAAAAATCATCTTATTGTAAACTAGATAGGTTTTATGCCTAAATGTATTCAATAAGTATTAAAAATATAAAGGTTTCAAACGGAATAAGTGAAACTCAGTAGAATGTAATTGGGAAAGTTGAACGCTGCCAGAAAATAAGTGCTCTTAGCATTTACTAATATCGCGTTCGCCGCTCTTCTACCACAGTCACTTCCCTAAAAAACTTCCACGGCGTTTCCCTTCACCGCCTCTGACACAACAAGCCCAAATGACTTCCACCTCCAAAATATCCCATGGCCGCCGCTGTTCAGGTCGCATTTACCCCAGCATAGGTTTGGCCAGCGGTTTCGAATCGCATATTTCTCAATTAGTTTGAGCTCTCACCTCGTTCAACTCGCCTGGACACCCCACGCGATTGTCGAACCTCCCAGCGAGGCTCGTAATATGGATTCTGCCGCATTTTTCTTAACTGTTTGACCTCCTTACCCTCGTATCACCAAGGTTTGCATGCACCAAACCGTGTGGCTCGTGTACGTTTCGCATCGCCCTTCTCCGTTTCTCGTTCCGACTTCTCTCAGCAGCGAAGTTTGCTCAACTTTATTTCATAGCGCAGTCATTTGAAGCTACACGCTAAGTATTTTCAGGAAGAAAGCCAGCTCTAATATCTCGCCGCGAGCTGCTAGCTCGCCCTTCGCTGAAAATGTTGTCGGCACGAGGAGCAGCTGCTGTGCTCTCACTCCGCCTGTCCTGGCTGAGCCATTCACATCGCGATGGCCGTCGCAACCGTCGCGTGCGTCGCAGCCATCGCTTTCGTCGCAGCCCCCGCGTTAGTCACTGTAGGCGTGTTCATCGTAGCTGACGCGTTCATCACCGTACAGCCGGAGCACGAACGGTCGTGTCGGTCGCAACGGACGCTCAGGGCGCACACGGAAGTAGCGTACGGCTGACGGACGCCGGTCGAAGTTCGTCGTGTTCGTGCGCTGCGTCGTTCTAACGGAGGCGTCGGTCATGGCAGAGGCCGTAGACTTTGTTGAGGACTCAAAGGCATTTCCACATCGTTTTTCCACGACCACTTCGGCGTGAAATCAAAGTTATAAACGTGGTATAGTTAGTGTCTAAGATCGCCCGCCTATACTTTCTCCTCCACGTCTTTCTGATTCTCGACGTGGCAAAGGATGAAGTGTTTCTCTTTCTCCTGTGTGTTTCCTTATCCAAGGCCTGCTTGCAGCTTCTCGCCTGTGCGACCTGCGAGTCGTCGGCGTCGTTCGTGACGTGATACGACGCCGAGTCCACGCCAAGCGAAACGATTTTGACTTCATTCGTGTGCGGCGGACCCAGTGTGCGAGTTGACTCGGGTAGTCGTCCGCCGCTCGTCTGCCTCGTGCGATGACATGTGGAGGGTTAAACTGCTTCTGTGTGCGACAAACCTCGGCACTTCTGCATCATTCGCGAAAGTCGCAACGGACTTCACGGTGAGTAGGATAATTTATCTCGTTATTGTTGCAAAGCACATCGAAACTGATGCGACGACGACGAAGTTCCTTCACAACACATTCTTTCTGACCGGCGTAGTTCAGTGGTTGACGACCTCTTCGCCAACCGTCGTTAACCTCGCTGTCGGCTGCGAGTTCGTATGTCAACCGCATAATGAATACCAACGCTGTTCGGAATGTTGGGTGCACAGCTCGGCAGCGAGGACGCGAACAACGCGTACAAGCAAATTCGCTTTCTATCGCTCCTTGTGCAGACGCATGCGGGGCACTCCATCCATGGCCATCGCCAGTGCAGCTATTGTGGCGGGATGTTGTGGACAAATCCGTCCGCGACATTCATCGGCAATTTTTTTTCCGAGCATTTCGTCGGCTACTTTTCTCTCTGAATTTCCTCCGTGGAATCTCGTTCCCGAATTTCTTAGCGAAATTCGTCGGGCGAATTAATAATGGGATGCACGTTGTATCTGGATGCGCGACTCCTCTTCGGTCCTGCACGCACAGCAGAGCGGCTGAGACGGTGAGTGCGATGCGAGAGGGCGGAGGGGGGGTGCATAGGCCGAGTCTAAGTCCGCTTGTCCAGTCTGCTGCTGCCGCCTCTTTCCCGTCGTTCTCTCATCAGGCTTCGTGCTAATGCGAGTGTCTCTTGTGCCCTTCCCCTTGGCGCGTCTCTTGCATGTGCGCGTGGCTGGCGTTGCTGCTAGCGGGGCTAAGTGCGCACATCGTGTAAGGCTCGACAGTAGCGGAGCCTTTCTCTGCCGCTCCACTGGTGGGCCTCGCCTCCGCCTTGCCCCTGGCTGGCGAGGCTGGGGCCTGCTGCTCGGTTCGTCGCGTGTGACGCGATAGCGTGCCGCTCGTTGTCATCGCTGCCGCCGCCGCCGCTGCTTCGCGAGAGTGAAGGACCGTCCGCTGCCCATCCGCTGCTTCCCCCCATGCGCCGCCTCCTCTGTTGTTCGTCCCGCAGCTACTGCTGCAGTCCGGCTGGTGAGTGCGAGGATGTGCTCGTGGGGTGGCGAGTAGACCTAGCCACCTAGGTCGCGCACGTCTCCCATCCGCTGCTCTTGGCCTCGAGTCCGCGGCTCTCTGCTGCTCGTTATAACCAAGCATCTCTGCTTCCTCCTCTCCTACTTTCTGCCCGTGCCATGGCCGGGGAGGGGGGTAGGGGGGATGTGCCCCCCCCCCTCTCCCCCTCCCTGTTTCTGCCCTCCTTCCCTCCCTTCAGAGTCACTGCGACCGCCAGCACGGATGAGGCTGCACATGTGGGGGGCAACGTGGAGAAATGTGGTGCAATGTCTGCCGCACGCCATCCGTACATGGCTCTGCTGCCTACAGCTCACTGCTCACCTGGTAAGAGCATGCCACCAGCTGTAAGGGGGGCGAGTAGTGTTAGAATATCCTATTATATTAACTAGTCTACATAGATTTGTTAGTCTTGAGTAGAGTTAAGCACTCCACTCCTATTAGGGTGTAATAACCCTAATTGGAGATTGGGTTCCCAATTTGGTTGGGTCCACAACTATTTGGGATTCCCAATAATTCCCACCAGAATTATTGGACCACCTATAATCCCAACCAGAATTATTAGTGGGGGCCAATAATCTTAGCCAACTCCCAACCAACCCTCCCTTCCTCCCTTTCCTCACATTCCTATGTAAACCCGTGTGCTTTCTCTCTAATCAACTTTTCTAAGTTCACCTTTTCTCGCATGGTTTCAGAGCTATGGCTCACGCCTCTCCCCTATTCGATCCTTAGCCTATGAACTCTCTCCGCGCCCTTAAGTGCCCTACAGTCGAGTCACGCCCTTACACGCCATCCCTCCGCGCCCTTAAGCGCCCTCCCATCGCGCCCTAAAGCGCCCTCCCTCCGCGCCCTAAAGCGCCCTCCCTCCGTGCCCTTAAGTGCCCTCCTTCCACGCTCTTAAGCACCCTCCTTTTGCCGCATTTCTTCGCGGCACTCTGCCGCATTTCGTCGCGGCATTTCGCCGTGGCATTTCACTGCATTTCGTCGCGGCATTCTGCTGCATTTCGTCGCCGCATTTCGTCGCTGCATTTCGGCGCATTTCGTCGCTGCATTTCGCCGCATTCCGTCGCGGCATTCCTCCACATTTCGTTGCGGCATTTCGCCGCATTTCGTCGCGACATTTTTCCGCATTTCGCTGGCCGCTTTTCTTCGCCGCATTTCATCGCGGCACTTCGCCGCATTTCGCCTCCTCCCCCTCCCACAGTCCCGTCGCCCCCGCCTAACACGCCGGGGCTCGGCCAGGCTGTTCTCCGTGCGTCCCCACTGCGCCCTTCCGCGCTTCCCGCGGCGCCCTCGACACGCCGTCCTCGGCGGCCTCGTCGCGTCGTCCGCGGCGGCCTCGTCGCTCGTCCGCGGCGGCCTCGTCGCTCGTCCGCGACGTCCTCGTCGCGCCGTTCGCGACGTCCTCGTCGCGGCGTCGGCGGCGTCCTCGCGGCGCCTCCCTTGCGCGATCGCGGCGTCCGCGACGCCCACGCGTCACCATCCGCGTCGCCCCCGCGACTTCCTCCTTCATCCCCTCCTCCCCCTCTCCCCAACCCCCAACAACTCCTAGCCCCCCCCCCGCCCGTCCTCCCCCTCTCCCCTCCCCTCCGTGGCTCTTCAGACCGCCTCCCGCCAGTCCTCCCCCGTCCTCTCCCTCTCCCCTCCCCTCAACGGCTCCCAGCCTGCCTTCCGCCCGTCCTCTCCCTCTCCCCTCCCTTCAACAACTCCTAGCCCCCTTCCTGCCTGTCCTCTCCCTCTCCCCTCCCCTCAACAATTCCTAGCCCCCCTCCCGCCTGTCCTCCCCCACTCCCCTCCCCTCCGTGGCTCTTTAGACCGCCTCCCGCTCGTCCTCCCCCTCTCCCCTCCCCTCAACGGCTCCCAGCCCGCCTTCCGTCCGTCCTCCCCCCCTCTCCTCCCCTCCGTGGCTCTTCACACCACCTCCCGCCCATCCTCCCCCTCTCCCCTCCCCTCAACGGCTCCCAGCCCGCCTTCCAGCCGTCCTACCCCTCTCCCCTCCCCTCAAC